GCGAAATGTGTCCCCAGTGGTGACGATTGAAAATTAATAGTCCGAGAATGTACCAATAAAATTATGAATTAATTTTGTCCAAATATTTGCTTCGAGTGTTTTTTGTTTTCGAACCGAAACCAATGGACAAAATAATCTTATATTAGATAGGTTTTTCTTTTTAATCTGTTAAACACAAATTCTTTAAAAACGTTTAACATAAACATAATTTTCTTGTAGGTAAATTATTTACCTTTTGGAGTTATATTCATAAAAATTAACGATTAAAAAAATTAATTTGCATTCCAGATATCAATTAACAACTGATACATCCAATTTGCGGCAGAGCACGGAGTCGACAGTTTCATTTTTTTAATTTTCTTATTCTCCAACACCCAAAATTTAACACGATGATGGTGGGGACTTTTTCTTCTTGCACTTTATAAAGATAAACAAAAATGTTTCAGAGTATAAGTAGGCCTCGGTTTGGCAATACATTTTTCAAATTTCACGCAGCAAATGCTTTCGTGAGGTCAAGTGATCAACCCTCAAACGCTTGAGGGTGCTTTTTTCGTTAAATAATCCATGTACCGATACATACGTCATACAGAACAAAGGACCGCAGCCACGGAGACAAACTTCGGTGAAATTAGTCATGTATCATTTCTACAGAAACCATAAAAAATGCAACGACTCGTTATTTACTCAAAAAATGCCGTGTTATATGGCCCACGTAAAAAACAACATGGCCCAAAACTCGACCAGCGGAGAACAATGCCACCACCACAAGATCCCTCTCTCTCTCTCTCTCTCTTTCCCTTCGACTTAAGAACACGTTTTATATATATATACACATTTAACACATGCACCCAACGTTATATCCTTCAACAAAAAGGTGTGTAAGAAAAAAAAGAAGAGTTCAAAGTCGAAAAAAGCACAACTGTACATACACAGTAATACGGAAAGGGCGAGAGGCAAGAGAGGGAGAAAGAGAGAGAAAAGAGACAACAGGTGCACTTTCTCTCCGTTACTCTGCATGCACATGTGCAGTATAACTGATGGTATTATGGGGTTTGCTTTGTGAGTCACTCACACGTTATATTATACCCATCACCTATAATAATTATAATGATAATAATACATATGCAGAAGGGAAGATCATCGTGCAGTGCAGATATGGTCGCGTCGTTTACTTGTGTGTATACCTATACATATAACAATTGAGAAGGTCGTCGGCCCATTAGCCCCTTTCGAGGTCACACGATACTTGTAATAATGCAACGTGTCTTATAAAAGTGTACACTTTTTTACCTGTAGCCCGGAATATTGATGTTTCTTTTAACCCACCATGCTCGAATGAATCATGGAAAAAAAGGCCTTTTTTTCTTCCAGCTCTGTTTTAAAGAAACTATTGTCTTTGGCACGTAAGTATAACATGGCTCATTTTAAAGAACAGTGGTCTCACTGTTTGGAGAACAATACTATCCACGCAACGCCATATTTCGTGTTTAACAAAAAAAAACAGGGTAAGCAATATTTGTGCATAAAAAAATGTAATGAAACAATAATCGATCCAAATTTTGTATGTGTACACGTACTTTAAAAAAAAAAAAAAAAAGAAGGACCAAGCCGCAAAACCGATTTGCATCAATTACTTGGGTAGGTTCGTAAGTATCATATTTATGCACAACCTAAACCTATACAATCAAAACAAACCAAAACGTCAAATTGTATGCGCCAGCATATCAACAAGTGGTTTTAGCGTCCACCAAAAGCCTGAATGTGCGCTCTGCCATAAAATGCAATAAAGGCACGCATTGCATTGAATAAAAAAATTAAAAGGAGAAAAAGGAGCTGTCTCTTGGTGGACAAAATATATGTGCAACTGGAAAGGAGGAGAAGGAGGAAAAAAGTCTGCGGCTATTGAAGGGGGGGGGGAAGGAGGTTGCGACGGCGGGCGGACGAGCGAGGAGAGAAGGAAACCGCGGGTGTCTCTTCTCCTCCTGCGTTCCCCTTCTCACCAACGCTGTCCTGGTCATGATCACCGAGAAAGCAACCTAACCTCTCGATCACCATCGGCACACGCACACCATGCAAGCTCTTTCTTCTCACCACTTTACCGATCTCTAATAAATCTGTTGACGAAAAAAAAGCTTCATTACCCGCGATTCCTGACAAACTTCAAATATGAGGAAAACACCTAAGTGTGAACCAATCTATGTACACATTGTTTATGGTTATCCGATTTTTTACGCTACAGGTACCGATATTCGTGATATTCGTAAAATAACATAATACCTATACATATGCGAGTGCACAAAGGACTCGGCAATCTCGGCACATAAAAGCAGTAGGTACACTCACCTCGTCCGCGTGGTCGAACGTTTTCGCGTCGGCGGTGGTGGCAGCTGAACCGTTATCTGCTGCCGCAGCGGCGACTGCAGTTGCGAGATGATGCTGATAATATGCAGAGCAGCAGCATGTACCGATCGGCGATTCACTACTGTTGTTCTTGCTCCTTTTTTTGTCGAGCAGCCGATTCTTTTCCTCCGTCGCCACCTCCTCTGTTTCTTCACGAGCGATGACCTCGTCTCCTTGACGCCGATTACCGATTTACCGTCCGAAAAGGCACCAGCCGTCCTTGAACTGCAGATCGGCATTCCTACGGACACGGACTCCTTTTGATAGCTCCTGATGGACTTCAAGCCTATCGTCACCGGTGATACATCTTTATCCACGTATCGTATTTTCGCTACGTATTGTTTTTTATGACAGGTTTCAAGAATTAAAACCAACCACAATCTATTGTATATGCGACCACAAGGACAAAGCTGGAGTGATCGAAATAATAGTACCTATAGAGACACACGTGCAAAAAGGAGCAATTGGTATTTTTAGGTATTACCGGTTGCGCCTTTTCTACGAAGATTTGTATACTTGAGAAATTTTGGATGCACTGCTTTTGCACTGGAGGACCGAAACAAAAACAATAAAAACTGAAATACTCTCTTGTCTCGCGTTACTAGTACCTATGTGCATGTCACCCACCGCACCTCTTTGCTACTGCACTTGCCGATACATTCATGAAGCGCGTTTATTAAGTACACTTCACAACCTTTTTTTTGAACTTGCATATGGTGTTCACGGCGCGCACTTTCACGTCCTTACACTCGATTTGTTGCTACATCATAGTTACACCACTTAACACTGCGACACATATACATACACGGGTAAGTTGTGTAGGTACCTAGGTATACGGTATAGGTATCCTATACGTGCAGGTAAATAAACCCCGTTGTAAAACACGGCTATAGGTACCAGGAGTACCAGGTAGGTATATGATACATATACCTATATGTAATGTGCTGGACGACTACTGCCTCTCTCTCTTTCTTTCCAATTTTTTTCTGCTCCGATTTTTCTGACATTCAATGTAGTTTTATTTATATATATACTCTTCTCTTCCTTCTTGTTTGCAGGTACTCAAGTACTTATTATTAAACACTTTATTCGTATGTGTAACTCACATAACGTACTCCATTTGCGTGACATGTGTGTAAAAATAAAAATAAAAAATAAATAAAAAAAAAAAAGAATTATTTGCACTCTTCGTTGAAGAAGAAGAAGAAGAAGGAAATAAAAAACGAGAGCTGCAAAAGCGAGGAGGTTCCAACTTAACGGCAGCAGCGCGCGAACTCGCGATAAGAAGGGGCTATATTACATACACTTTATAAAAGGTGCAGCAACACAGGTTTTAGCGACTGGAGCATACAAACATGCATTGCACTTGGATAGAGTATATTATGCGCCATCCATGCATGCACGCGAATGCACTCACTGCCGCGGCAAAGAGAACGGAGAATGAATATCCGCGCTCCACGCCGCGAGTGTATATACACCCCTACGTTTGTATGCCTACTCTCCCTCCGCGCCGCGAGAGCGAGACTGCCAGGCTCAGCGGCAAACTTTTCTGTTGAAACGAAACGAACGCTTGGTTCGATTTGACGATACGTGTGTGTATAGGTATATGTGTGACTCAGTCTCTCTCCCGAGTGTGTATATAGATATATTGGCTGTCTCGAGCCGCCGAAAGAGAAAAAGATAGGAGAACCAGCCAAGAAGCAAGAAGAAGGTTAAAACTATATATATTGGAAGGTTTTTTCCTGGGGCGGCTGGTACAGTGCATGAGCACTAGGGGGAGCTTTTACCTGGGGAACTTCCCCCCCCCCCCGCCGCCCGGATCTTGTGGCCGAACGCTCGCCGCCCGCCGCCGTCGTCCTTGTCTCTCCTCTCTTCCCCCTCTGCGTCAATTGCACACACGCGTATAGTCGTTTTTTATTCAAAACCTTCGTTCTTCGCTATACATAGTCGATAAGTTCTCCATCACAAACATATTTTTTTTTTTTTTTTTTTTTCTTGCAATCGATCTTCTTCACATTTATTTATTTATAAATTCTGCGTGACTTTGGTTTAAGTATCAAACAATAAATTTCTCTCTATGTTTATTGTGTTTTTAACTTTCTTCACAGGAATATACATTAATAAACAAAATTTGGGGTTTTCCTTGCGTAAGTAGTGTGTTTGCCGTACAAGAGTGCGATAGAAGTAAGATTTCAACCGATTTTTATACCAGATTTTTCGCGTTTTCTTTGACTCCAAAACAAACGTTATGCGATTGGATACCTGCATAATTAATCCAGGCAGCAACAAAATGTACATTACGGCAACTACTGTATCAACGTGCATTAAAAATAATTGACATTTTTTTCAACAACTGTTTAGGCATCTTTCCAGTGTGGTCACGGCGTCTTCTTTTTTTTTTTTTTTTAATGTTTTTTTCATATGTATATTGTTTTTTTTTTAATTGAAACAATAAAAATATGCTTGACTTTTTTGTGAACCAACCCGTTTTACATTTCAAAGTTTCAGATGTTCGAACGAATACGACGCCTGGTGACAGGAAAAAAAAAGTGTTTGTTCGTCATTTTTTTTTCCTTGTATAAAGGTTTTGACGTATACAATGTTTAAATTCTTTATTTTTATCTTTTTTTTTTGTTCATTAATATTGCTAATATACTTTGATACCTGATAGGTTTTCCTCATATACATACATGCAATTCTTTTTTATAGTACACCGAAAAATGCGACAAACGGTATAATATATATAAATAGGCTATCAACAAATCAATGCACCTTAACTTCTGATACCTTTGTTGCCAGTTAGTTACAAGATGGAAGATAAAGATGAGTTTGATATTGAAAAAATGTATTTATTCATTCGTTTATTCTTAAAAAAATAGTTGACAAAATTAAATTTTCAAATTTCAACACGATTTGAACTCTCGTACTCATATATTCATTAATCCTATAAGCTCTCATTGCAAATAATAAATACAAATAAATTATACAAAGGATAATAGACTCGTTACGAAGTTATACAATTGATACGATGAAGCGTGAGTTTGGAAGGGAAAACGACGTTACAATTTACACAATATGTATATATACCTATGAACAATTATTGTTTCGTTGTTACAACTATCGAAACCGAGGTAAATAATAGCTTACAAATATAATTGTATATTTATATTATGTGTACAAAAAAATGCATAAAAATAAACACAACTCGTTTGTTTAGGGACACATTATACGCAAGTTAATCGGTGGCACCTTACATATTCTTATGATTACACATTTCAATGTTTTGAATATGAGAAAAATTAAGGCCAAGTTCTCTGTAACTAGTTTTTAGAAAATTATGAGAAATTATTTCAGGTTGAAAAGTAAAATTGTTTAAAGGATGGTCCAATAATTTAACTCAAGAAAATCTTAGTTTATTATGTTATATAATTCTGTCACCTCTAGTAGTTCCGATTTTGTTCAGCATCACAAGAAAAACAACATTTTTCATTTTTAATGTGATTTGAGGTGACGGGGTTGTATAACCATTACCAAATCTCGATGTGCTGGAACATTTGGAAAGTACAGGTTACTGAAGTAATTATTTTACGAGGGTACCTGCAAGTCTGATCTGCAACTGATAAATATTATCCAACTTTGTAAACACACGAAGAAGTCAATATGAGTTTATGGCACATCAAAGTATTCCAGTCACCAATACCCTCAAGATCGATCAATATCTAATCTGCAAAGAGAACTCTTCTCTCAAAGATTTTAGACATTCAACACTTTCGTATCTTACAAATATCTTATAATCAGTAGAGAAAAATCAATCCCATGTGTTACTTTTACATGGACTCAAGAAAGCTCTGGTAACAAAAACATTTTAGAATTTGATTTTGCTAAATTTTTGTTATGTTTTTAAAAGCTGCGCAGTATCATCATTTTGTATGATACCAATCAATATATTTTCGTACCTTCATACTTGTGTGTGACCATACGATTTTTGAAATTACAGAAACCTAAGGTCTTCTAGACCATTGTATAAATATATGTATGTATGTAAAAAAAAAGATTAAAAAAGATTAGCAACCAAACAAGAATTTTGTCGCTAAATAATATTACACTTATAAACTGCGTACTATTAATTGAATTTATTTAAACTACAACTCATTCCTAGGCCACTGAAATTTTCAATTTGAAATTGATTGTTTTTTTTCTTATTTTCATATTTGGATGTCGAAAGCTAACGTAAGCTATTTGTGTACATTTCATAGATTATACATGATATTTTTTAATAAAACGTAAGAATAATTGACCCATGTCTAATTTACCGTTTTAGCAACTATTTCATAAGAGATCTCGTAATCCAAATATTGGTTAATTAATTAGAAAAAATAACGAAATTTTAAAAATTTTTCTTAAAATATTACTTTAATTACTTGACTTGTCAAAAATAAAATAGGAACGCCGTCATCTTACAATGCTTCTATTAAAAAATTGCCAAATCTAGATGATACTAATAAAATACGTTGATGAATTCCATAAATTAACTTCACAATAGTTTAATATGCAACATCACGTGTAATACACCATACTAAAAATACTTACAGCAGAATCTAAAACTTTAAAGAGTAACAATAATATTGTAATGCCTCTCGTTTAAAATAATGTATAAATATTTTGTAACTTCCAAATCATTATAATTTTCATTGATAATACTTCTACAAATTTTCATATCTTTTAAAGACTAGCATTTAGTTAAAATATTAAGAAGAATATATGCATGTACATATTATCAGAATTTTATGTATTTTTGTTAATAATCATCCTAGTGGGAATGAAATAAAATACAAAGAACTACGTTATAATGATCAATCATCAAAATATGGGTCTTGAGTAACTACGAAATATTTTCGCCAACGTACTTTACTCAATAATACACATGAAACAACAAAAATGTACCTGGGAAAGAGACGTTTAAAACGTTCTCGGTACATTATTTAATTTTTCTCGAGTTTTCGTTAAGCTTAGTGACCATCATGACTACGCATTTTACGAGGTTAAAAAACATCTCGTTGCTAAGGCAATAAAAAAATGATAGTCAAAGGCTGCATTAAAAAAAAAAATGTTTTCTTAAACCAACCTTTTTTTGCCCTACTGTAATCAGTCTGGAACTGTTAATACACTCTGAGCATCGATCATGCTATCACTCATGATAAAGGATGTATTTATAATCGGTGTACTGACAGTGTTGCCCGATTTTTTATTGCTGAACGGATAGAAGCTGTTGATGTTCATTTGAAGGAGGCATGTAGAAAGTTTATCAACGGAAGGAGAGGCGCTCCCCGTGTTGTTAACGTCTAGTTGCATCTGTACTACCTCGTTTTGGAGCAGCCGAGCGTACATCTCGATCTGACTGCGGCCACCGTTGTTAATGACCAAGTGAGGTATCCAACGAAAATAACACTGGGACCATAGCTCAAGCCAGGGTATGCCAAAGAGAGGTTTGAGAAAAGTTGCACGCGACGAGGTCGAGGTCGTTGTTGAAGTTTGAGATACAGCCGGATTGAAAAGTGGATTGTGGAAGAGCTGGATGTCCTGGTCACTGAACTGCTCTCGCCAATCCCACACACTTCGCAGCACCAGACGAGTATTTTGATCCTGTGCAGAAGTTTCGTATTAATTTTGAATTTGATTAGAAAAGGACTAAGGTTTTTCATTAGTTGTTGAATTTCGATACTTACAATAGCTGCCCTAAACCGGTCTCGTTCACAGTTGAATATAAATGTTTCGAATATCGAGACGTGCGCGGCATCCCAAAGCGTCGTCAAATACGTTTCAGTAAACTCAAATTCAGTGGGGAACTGCTGACACAATTGCCAAACGCAATCCAGATACAAAAGTAGTAATGGTGACTGCAAATGATTTAACGGGTATTAACTTCTTGAACGACGTTTGGTAGTTTTTAATTTCAAGTTACCTTTTCTAAACCATCACTTTTTAAATGACCCAGACGGTCGCAAAAAGGATGACCAGCAGCCACCCATTCTTTCTGTATCAAAGTTTGGAATCCCGTTATAGTCCTAAAATGTGGGTCCAATAGTAGTTGAACCAAACTTGAAATAATACAACAAACGTCTCTGCCAGCGCCTTCTGTACAAGGAAAGTTAAACAAGCACTAGTAATTTCAAATCAAATAAGCTCAAATATGAAGTTTTCTATCAGTAAGTTACCTTGCAATATAACAGGAATACCATTGTTTAAATGTTCACTAGCCTCAACAGATTTTTCTAAACAATATGACACATACTTTAACCACTTGGTACTTTCCAACGAAGAATAAAAATTATTTTCTTGTATTACAAATTGCCTAACGCTGTCTGAAAAACAAATTATTTTGATGATGATTGACAAATGATGAATGATGAATGATTATTCGTTTAACTTTTTCAAGTCATGAATCAATGGAAAAAAAGAAAATTACCAGGAGAACACAAAGTAACGAATTTCGAGAAACTCGAAGCTACAGCCTTGACGCCAATATCCTTACTTAATTCAATAATCACTGGTTGTAATTTTTTCGGATGATTCTTACGAATATTTTCTAACATTATGTTTTCCTGGGTCCTTTCCGTAATGTCTGCACAGAGTTCCGACATTTTAACTAATGCAGCACCGTGCTCATTAGACCAGGACCAAACTGGCGGCCGACGGCCCTGAAAGTGCTGAGCTACTTTGACTAATTGACTATCGGTTACAGAGGCAGGAACGACGATAAATTCTGACAAGCTGGAATTTTTATATGATTTTTAAAAATACACGATAAATCGCAGACGAGAGTTCTTAAAAGAATCAAACTTTACGTAGGACAAAATGCGAATTGCAGATTCGCCATTGATATCCGCCAGCCTTTTTTTATATTTACAGCTTTACTACACAATCGGTCCAACTCATTGTGCCAGTCATTGACGCTACGAAACAGCTGAACTTCTTTGTCAACACTGCTGAAATAGGGCTCCCTTATTGGGAAAAAAAATTTAATTGGAACAGATAGAAAAACAAATTTTTTATTCTGCTTATCTCTGAAGATGGTTTTAAAAAACTCACGTGTATTCATAAGCAAAAAGTAAATGATGTTTTGTAGGAAACGCATGATGGAGCAAAGCATTAACGATATTCTTTCCATCTCCAATTTTAGAAAATTCGAATGAAAACGACCACGTTCTTAGGTTCTGAAAATAAATATTTTTACATGCACCTAAGCTTTAAAAAAAATGCTGTTTGAAATAGTTAAGAACTAATGAAGGTTTGGATTTAAAAAATGTAGAGGTAATACAATTCTGCATTGTGAAATATAAAGTAAACCACTTACTTTACACACAATGAAAATTCCTTTGACTTTGGATGGAACTGCTGCTCCTGGCACAAGCTTTTTTTTCTTATCTCCTGTGATTAAATAAACTGTATCAATATTTGATAGACATGTATCTGTATATCCATAGAGATGATTTTGTTGATGTTGAATATCCTTAAATAAAACAGTTTTTAATGAAATATTTAAAAAATCCATTACTTTTAACGCGTTAGCAAAAAATTACTTACATCAATATTATCTTCTATAGTAACAAAAGAGAGCTTAAAGTTTGTTATCAACAGCATTCCTGATATATCTTGTTTGGACTCGCCAATTGGCTCATACATAAGGACATTTTCGACCTTGGTAACAACAGCCTCTCCTGGTAATAATTTGATACTATTCTGATAAAGTGTGTTACATCGATCCGATGATAAATTCTGTGGGCAAAAGAAAATGCAATAAGCATGAGTACATTTGTGGACATCAAGAACATTTATCTGTCAAATACCATCTTATTTAAAAATAGGTTTTAAGTTCTATCAATTAGAGTACTATAAGAATTTAATGGTATAAATAGTCAAACCAGTATTGAGTTTCAAAGTGCACTGCCAGCTTTATAAAGATAAAGTCAAGAATATTTATCTTGATAACACTACTCTTATCTGTAGGTGAAACCTTATATTACTATATAGATGCTGTGTTTACAAGTGACTTGAGGTTTTAGCAAGTGTCAAGTTATCTTTGAAGAAAAATTCCTTTTAATTCAAAATTAACAAAATACTGAGTTGAAATAACATAAAAAACTACTGTGAATGATTTTTAAAAATATAGTGTAAAATGAAACTCATACAAAATCTCAAGCAAAAATTGAAAACGAAAAACATCACTGCAAAACTGACAATTAACACTTCCATTGCATGATGGTCATAACACTTACTTAGCACCAAAACTAATTGAAGGTCATCGAGGAAGCGAAAAAAAAACACAATGCAGCAGACGAAAGAAAAAAAAAGTAAGACAAAAATTTGCAAAATCACCTGCATCTCATGTTCCTCTAAATTGACGTAGCTTATAAAGTTGTTGCAGTGCTTGGCCTCCATCATAGCAGACAGTGTAAGGACTCTCCTGCATTCGGTATATATTTTCTTCAAGTTCGCAAAAATTGTTGACAAAACGAAGTTCCAAGCTCGTAAGCTCTATTCTTCACCACGGAAACGATTTTGGCTGTATACGTTATGGCAACGCAATTAACGATAGGTTTTACTAATAAGTGTAAGTATACAATATTAAGGAGCAGAGATGAATTTAATTATTTTTTAAGACTTGAAGTCCAATTGCTCGCTTGCTTCTTTTTTTTAGGTAAGTACTACCTATTCAACGTGATAAATAAAATAAACCAGATAAGTAGTACTACAGAATACTATACTAAATTTATAAGGGATTTTTCTATCTTTTCACTCCACAAAAGCACAAATGTAAACAGGCCCACTACTTATACATCATAAGCCATATACGTCAAACACGTCTGCAACACCAATAAAAGTAACACAGTGTTACCAACACTACGGTCGGTCACTACGGATTACGGGCCGGTCACGACAACACGACATCTGCATGCAAACGCATAAGCACGCACAAGAACAAGTACGAGTGCACAAAAAACACGTACGACTCGTACGACTGTACGAGTGGTCATGGTCGAGTGCACGAAAGTGCGCAACAACAAGTTGCGTTGCGAAGACGGTTTCTCTTTCATTTTATTTCAAAAGTATAAATATGTAGGTCGATTTTTGGGTAAAATACAGATTGTAAACTTGCCGCAAACAGCACAAACGGTGTCAACTTTTTATCTTCTATTTATATTATTAGTTGCGGCGGGTTTATAATTGATTAAATGGCTCTACTGTAAGTGGTAATAATATTTTGGATCAGCGCCATCTAGCGTTGCGGATTTCTGAACGAAAAAGTGGCCCTAAACTTTTCAGCCAGAGCTTTAGCGCGTAGAGCCATTTAATCACTTATAAACCAGCCGCAATTCATTTAGTAGCTATAAAATAAAAAATTAACGATACGTGTGTTTTTGGCGGCAAGTTAACAATCTATCTTTTACTCGAAAATTTATCTTCAAAAGTGTAAATACATATGAGGTCAATTTTTTGGTAGAAAATAAATTGTTGACTTGCCGCCAAAAACACATATATTGTTATTTTTTTATTTTATAGCTTCATCATGAGTTGCGGCTGGTTTATAATTGACTAAATGGCTCTAATCCTGATTGCTCTGATTGAGAATTTTAGAGGCCACTTTTGGCCAAAAAATAAAGACCGCTAGATGGCGCTGATCCAAATAATTATTACCACTTACAGTAGAGCCATTTAGTCAGTTATAAACCAGCCGCAACTAATAATATAATTAGAAGATAAAAAGTTGACATCGTTCGTGCTGTTTGCGGCAAGTTTACAATCTATATTTTATCCGAAAATCGACCTATATATTTATACTTTTGGAGATATATTATAGGTACACACTCTGCTCTGCACGGATTTAGCATTTACGAAGAGATACAAATTTTCGCAGATGTATTTCCATCAATGTATATTCATCGCTAAGTTAACTACGTTTACTTGATTAATAAAAAAATATATTTTCATCAAGAGACGGGAAAATTTTTTGGAAATGAGCTTCTCAATTCACGGTAGAACTGTCGCGTTGTGCAGCGGTGACAGCGTTGTTATTTATAACCTTGACAGCAAAATCGACAGAGTCGTTAGTTTGCCAAAACTCGAGCTCGAAAAAGAAATCAAAGACCATAACAGAGAGGAAATCGAGTCATTTCATACACTAACGTACATCGAGTTTTCAAAGGATGGCAGATACTTTCTGGTGTGCACTAATCGTAAGCAGTTGTGTTTGTACAAGACTGAGACCTGCGAGCTAGTTTCTAATCGAGCAATGGTCCGAGCTGTGAGTAGAGTGAGATTCATGCCCAGCAACGATATTGTAGTAGCTGATAAGTCTGGAGATGCATACATGTTTTCTGCTTCCAAGCCAAGCGAGAAGGGAGAGTTGTTGCTTGGGCACCTGTCTATGCTGTTGGACGTTTTGGTGACGGACGATAAAAAACTAGTTATTACTGCTGACAGAGATGAGAAAATAAGAGTTTCCATGTACCCTAATAGTTATAATATTGTGTCCTACTGTTTGGGGCACAAGAATTTTGTTACCAATGTGGCTATTGTTCCCCATGACAAGAATCTCCTGGTATCCAGTGGAGGAGATGGTACTCTCATGTTCTGGGATTTTAAGAGGGGCAAGGAGCTTTTAACTGTTTATTTTCACGAGAAATTGTCTCAAAATGATTTAATCAAACTAAATAAGACTTTAAAGGAGAATGATTTGGAGGACCAAGTGACTGTGTCACCTGTGAAACACATCAAACTATTACAAGTAACTAATGATAGCTCCATCATTGCAGTTACGTTTTATTGTACTAATGTGATACTAGTCTATGGCATTTATTGTAGTGAGAGTAATCTCAGTGTAGAATATTTAGATTTGATCACGGTTCAAAGCGAACCAATGGAAATTGATTGTCACAAAAATCAACTGTGGGTTTTGACTGATTCAAAAATTTTCATTTTTGAATTTATCAGTCAAAAATTTGTCAGTAATGATAATTTAAATGACGAGATCGAAAAATTAAATGACTTGTGGAAAAAAGTACACAATGGCTCAACAAGGACACTATTGCCTATTTTATATAAAAGAAAATATAATAATGTACAAGAATACAAAGAAAGAAAAAAATTGAGATTAATAAATAACACTAAATGAAATGTATAAGATGTTAATATTTATTTCGCAACACAAATACTTTATTTATAAATCAAATGATCTCTCCGCGTAACTTATTTAATCGTAAAAATAAAACAAGCCTCTACGTGTTTTTACACTGGCTTGTAATCCAACTTCGATTCCAATTTCTTATTGTCTGACACTTTTCTCACGGCTTTCATAAAGTCTTCCTGGATAACATATTCTCGTTCTAAACGAATCGCGAAAAGTCCTGCTTCTGTACAAACGTTTCTTAAATCTGCACCATTAAATCCGTCAGACAACTTAACTACAGCTTCATAATCTAGAGCAAATAATACAATTTTTATAACTACTGAACAATTTGTGGAGTGGTTGACATAAAATGCATAGTAACATACCTATTTCACCATGTTTTGCAATAGGACTAGCATGGATTTTCAAGATTTCCAGTCGGGCTTGCTCGTTTGGCAATGGGATTTCGATTTTTCTATCCAGTCTACCAGGTCTCAATAGTGCAGGGTCGAGTGTATCTGGTCTGTTTGTGGCCATAATCATTTTAACTTGTCCTAAGGAATCAAAACCATCCATTTGATTTAATAACTCCATCAAAGTCCTTTGAATTTCGCGATCAGCACTCGTTCCTTCAGAAAATCTTCTGCCACCTGCACAACAATATTAATTATTAATATAAATATTACTGTTTTTTGATTAGAATACTGTAGCTATTAAATGGTACTAACCAATAGCGTCAATCTCATCCATAAATATGATGCAAGGCTGATGATCCCTGGCATAGTTAAACATTTCACGAATCAATCTCGCAGATTCACCAATATACTTATCGACAATAGCACTAGACACAACTTTCAAAAAATTAGCATCCAACTGGCTTGCCACAGCACGAGCAAGTAGCGTCTTTCCAGTTCCTGGTGGTCCATATAGCAGACAACCTTTTGGTGGTGTAATGCCGACTCTGTGAAAGAGTTCAGGATTCAGCAGAGGCAGTTCAATAACCTCTCTCAGTTCACGAATTTGTTCGCTTAATCCTCCAATTTCAGAATAGGTGACATCACCAGGATCTTCATGTGACATGTTATACACTAATGGATCCACCTGAAACAGAAAAAAAATTTCAATGAACATAGAATAATATTCATTGTCAATGAAACCCGTATTTCTTCTATGTTAAAAGATTTGGAGGGATATGTACTTCACGGGGTAAGTAGCGCATAATCGTGAGAGTTGTCATGTCAAGAGCAACTCTAGTCCCAGATTTAAGCTTATTTTTGTCCAGCTGGCGTCTGCATCCGACCACATACCTTGGTCCATTTGTAGCTTTGACTATAACTAAATTAAAAAATATTGTTTTACTTTATACTCATGGTTTTGAAATTTTTTATAAACAAATTATCAAGACTACGTACACTTCTCTTCTGTTAATTGTTTCAGAACTTCACCAACAATCTAAAATAAAACAGCAAACATTATAAGGGTAATTGATTGACTGCTTCACATTTTTTCTAGATTAAAGTACACACCTGGCCAACACTTTGTAGAGCCTTCAAGTCATTTTCCGACTTGTCGTATTGTTTTGTCAAGTCCTTTAAATGCTCTCTCACTGAAACAACAAAAACAAATGCATCGTTGGGTCTCTTAAATGAACGTGTAATTAGTTTATGAAAAGAAAAAGTAACTAAAACGATATTGAAAATCTATAAACAAAATAAACAATACCCTGAGATAAAACAATGAAACTTAATGGACAAATTAAATTCTCATTCTTGGAAAACACATAGTGTAAACAACTCAAAAACTGCTGACTGTAAAGCAGGTTAGGTTCGATGAAATCTTATCTATCAATGGCAAAAATAAAGCCGAGAAAAAAAAAACTATCCTCGGTGTACTCACTTTCTTTGAGCCGGGACTCGACTTCCTTGTGCTCCATGAGTTTTTTTCTGTAATCCTGAAGGGATTTATCCCTCTTGTCATTGTCAGTAGTGGCCGCCATCTTCGCCTTGTATTTTACTGTTTAGCAGTTGTGCCTTCACAGTTCACACCAACTCGTGATTTTGGAGCACAGACTCCCTGCTCTCTAACAAAAAAAAATGATACAACAACCAATCCGCGATTGAATATTTATATACAAACAGTGCTAACTTGCAAACTTTAAAAAAAAACTGAGCGAACTCAACTGCAAGGCCAGAAACCTAGCTAATAATGCTAATATACTCTTGGTCAAAATATGGTCACAAAATCGAGAGAGAAAATTGACCAGAGACCAGAGAGTCTGGCTCTGGCATACTCTGGCTCTGGCTATAAGAGAGAACACGATGAATGACAGATTGACGGTACATGAAGTACTATATTACAACAATAATTGATTTAATGGGACCCAAACATACATATACAAAAATTCTTAATAAGTTATTGTCGATTATCGAGTTGCAACGTGCCTTGTCCACAAATTCGATTTTATCAAACCATGTATATGTAGAATATCTATACTTTTGGAGTTCGATTTTGGGGTAAAAGATAAATTGTACACTTGTCGCAAATAGTACAACCAATGTTAACATATTATTTAATATCTATTCTATTACTTGCGGCTGGTTTATAATTAATTAAATGGCTCTACTGTTAGTATTAACAATTATTTGGATCAGCGCCATCTAGCGGTATTTATTTTTTGGCCAAAAGTGGCCTCTAAAATTCTCAATCAGAGCAATCAGGATTAGAGCCATTTAGTCAATTATAAACCAGCCGCAACTCATGATGAAGCTATAAAATAAAAAAATAACAATATATGTGTTTTTGGCGGCAAGTCAACAATTTATTTTCTACCAAAAAATTGACCTCATATGTATTTACACTTTTGAAGATAAATTTTCGAGTAAAAGATAGATTGTTAACTTGCCGCCAAAAACACACGTATCGTTAATTTTTTATTTTATAGCTACTAAATGAATTGCGGCTGGTTTATAAGTGATTAAATGGCTCTACGCGCTAAAGCTCTGGCTGAAAAGTTTAGGGCCACTTTTTCGTTCAGAAATCCGCAACGCTAGATGGCGCTGATCCAAAATATTATTACCACTTACAGTAGAGCCATTTAATCAATTATAAACCCGCCGCAACTAATAATATAAATAGAAGATAAAAAGTTGACACCGTTTGTGCTGTTTGCAGCAAGTTAACAATCTGTATTTTACCTAAAAATCGACCTACATATTTATACTTTTGAAATAAAATGAAAGAGAAACCGTCTTCGCAACGCAACTTGTGTGTGTGTGCTTGTGTGCCCGCTGCACTCTAAGCAAATGAGCATGCTTATGCGTTTTTATGCATCAGATGTCGTGATCCTGATGCATCAGGCTTCCGTGTTCCGTAGCTGTCATTTCGCGTTCTGCTCCCAACTCCGAACGTCGACTATTACGTATTGCGGTGTGTGAATTATAGTTGATTAGAAATCACCGTTTGTTTAGAATATATGAAGAAGGTACAGATAAAAATTTCGACAGGGGTTTTTCCCGTTGCGTTGTAAATAAATAAGAGAAACCATGATTTCTTAATAACTCCTGTAAAGTATACACCAGAGTCCCACTCAGAGATAGGTTACACCCAAATGTAGATGAGAAGCTGAAAAACACTTTGTTCGTTGTGTTGTTTTCTTTTTTGTTTTTAACAAAGAATTAGAAGTAAAATACCAAAAAACAGTTGACCAACGTTAAAGGTGTATTATTGACTTTGACAAAGTGCTGTTATCGCTTCAAATTTTTTGGTTATCTCTCACGGTTATCAGATCAGCTATGTATTATAACTATTGTTATTATTTTTTAAACAGAACATGAGATTACACGAGAGTTAAAAGCGTTTTTTGTTCAAACACTCCTAGTCTAGGGGCTCGATATTTGTCTGCTGCAACTGAAATTTGGTTTTGATTCAGAAACCCATTTTTATTTGTATTATGCAATACCATACATCTAAAAAGCGTATCATCAAAAGGTAATTCCATTTTAACTTTTCAAGGTTTGCTCATTTTCTACATACATTTTTGAAATTTACTTTTTATCTTTTCCATGATACAATCTACGTTACATCTACTCATAAACTTTCTAGACTAATACTTAATCATTTTATTTCAATTTTTATTCTTAACAACGTGCATGTAACATTACATTAACGTATAAAACATTAGTTATAAGTTTGCACAAAACTTCACTTCATTCAGTAATAAAACCTGTTCATCATCACAATCAGAATAATATTTAATATGTGCTCTTAAAAAATATTGAAACGAAGACCATTCTAACTTTCAACGCCTCAAAAAACGAATCCTATTGTTATTCTTTCTGATAGAATAGGCATTTAGAAGACTAGTGTCAATTTAACAGTTACATAAAATAAGATGCTGGTAACCTTGACTTTCATCTCATAAAAGAAAATACTTACACTTGACCAGCTTAGTGTTTCAATGAATGTCCAACGAGTCATATCTGACTTCAGTTTTTTTTTACAAAAAAGTCCAACTGGCCAATCAAAGTAGCTTAAGTAAAAAATAAAGAGCGAGCAGTGCAATGAAGTTTACAAGGTATGGACAGTAATAAAATATTATTTATGAGTTTTTTATTTTTTTATTTATTTTTTTTTCCTTAGTTACAGTATCGTTTTTGATACACAGTATATTTGACGTGATAGATATTGCACCTGGTAAATTAGTAAATTTTCCTTCTGTAGTTTTAAAAGAGACAGTCGTCGTTGATAATAATTAGTTTCAATAATTTGTCATTATCACATACAGCTTCCTCAATATCGTATGTTAAGGAAAGGTAGTTTACTTTGTTTACACAACAATTTCCTATCGCACAATTGTTTCGTCTAATGAAAATCAATTACCGAAAGAAAATTTTTGTAAATTCACCCTAGAAATTCCAAGATTTTATTTCTTACACCAGTCTTTCATCTGCAAAAAAAAAACCAAGCACCATAAAATAGTGACACGCGAAGTAACTCAAGTGCCATTTAGTTTAAACTCCAATCGGAATACTTATAGCTTGAAAAATTTAAGCGCATTGACTTGAACCACAAGTATAACAATTATCCTTACATTCTCTGTCGTTGCCATGAAAAAGTACATTTGTTTACAGTAATATTCGTTACTTTGGCGAATAGATCGCTGTTTTTTTTTCTTCCTTTTATTTCTTACACTAATCCGAATCGGATTACCCGACGCTGATTATCCACAAGCTCTAAGTCGCCGAAGCCTCGCGATTCATTGGATTAATTACATACTTAATCGACAAAAAGACGTTGCAAACTTAAAGTCTAACTGGAGAGAAAAAACGTCCTATGACCTTTCCTTCACATATAGTACACACACACGCACACCCAACAACAATACTAACTCTTATCATCTTTGCAGAACTCACTAACTGAATGGTTTATATAAAAATTCACGTTCATCTCACGTTTTCCCTTGTACTTGTACAGAGACATTTTATTCGCGAACAAATCATCTATATGTACCCCACATTCACTGGCGCGCGATCGACATCCAACTTACTGAAAAACCTATCATTCACATCTTTTTTTTTTTTTTTTTTATCGATCAAGAGTCTCTCGTCAATGTTTTTTTTTGTTTTCTTTCCTTCATTGCTACTTTGACTTTGCTTTTTACACCCCTCTCTGCTCATCAGGTATCTCTTAGTCAGATTTATCGCAAAAAAGCAAGTGATCGAAAAAGAAACACGTGAGTCATCATAGTGCACTGCTGATGTGTATGCACGCGCAAAAGCTATCGAATTAAAAATTGAGAGTACAGCGAGAAAAAATAACAAGAAACAAATGAAAAAAAAAAAAACCATAAAGCGACAAAAAATTAGAGTAGCACGCGTAAGTATAGTACATACTAATGCCATAAAATTTAGTCATGCGGGCAATTCACTTGCCGTTCTGCTTAGCCACAATGGTACCCGTCATCGTCGCTGATTTTTGGTATTGTAACGGAGCGTAAGTTAACACGCACACTCACACGTGTGTCTATGATATAGTGTTTGAAGAAAACAACTAACATTTGTAAAATAAACACTGGCCTTTTTTTTTTTTTTTTTTTTACTTGTTGCCGCTATTTATTGGCACGAGCAATATGCAACACACTCCCAACACACAAAAATTTTTGTATGTGACGATTATAGGCGTCGACTTTGTTCTGAAAACCATACTATACACAGAGATTGTTCATTCCGGCTGATGAATCCGCGTACATGCAGCTATTATCCTTGACAACCTTTAAGTGCGATCAAAGTCGACGGCTGTCTTTTTTTTTTTTTTTTTTTTTATTGTCCAACTTTTGCATTCTAAAGTCCCGCTCTATCTTTGTTTCTGGTGTGCATTTACTCACTGTTTTTCCCACATTAGCGGTGTTTTTACCACTATCTTTTACCTTTTTGGATGTCGCTCATATTTTTTGGTAATTTGCAGCGAAATATCATCAGAATTGTTGTTTATTTTTCTGTTTTTTTTTTTTTTTTTTTTTTTTTTTGTGTTCCGTAATTGTTTTTCTTTTTTGTTTGACTCGTACCGAGTGATGGGTATGTGAAGTGAGACAATTTATGTGGACTAATTGATAATGTCGCGTGCGTGTTTTAATATAAATCGTATACTTACAAACATCAATGTGTGAGCAAATAATTATGTCTGCAAAGTGTAGTTTTATCAACATTTTGAACTTAACTATTTGGCAACACTCATCATTAACAAAATGACGCACAATGTAAATTTTTACAGATTACTTAAAAATGACAAATATTTCAAATAAATCCTTATATGCATGAAAGTGTGTAAATTATGATTAAATAATAAAAAAAAAAAAAAAATTCGTTTCTTGTACATGTACTGTTAGCCAATATTATTTATTATACATGTTTAATCTGATATTTTCTAAAATTGACGTTTCTTATAACTATACCCTCAAATACAACTATTTGGTCGTTTGATTTGTATTTCCCTCCGTATACACGGCGTATCAATCGTTTATTCACAAAAAGTAATACATGTATACATAATATAAACGTGTGCGTATGTGTCAATGTAATATATAATTTATCGTCAGTTATACACAGTCACGTTTACTCACAAGTGATGAATATTTTTTCAGATTTTTGCTATGGACCATGAGAATATCTATTTGCATCTACATTTTCTTATTTGGGCTTTTACCCCTCGTCTTTCGATATTCGTACGAAGTACAAAAGAAAATCCTATTTCTCAACTTTGGTGAGTCCCTTTTAACATAATTTTACACAATCGAGATATGATAATTTTTTTTTTTTTTTTTTTTTTCAGTGCATTGGCCACTAGACATTGACCTGACCAAGCCAGATACAGTTGGATTGAAGGGCGCAAGAAACTTTTACCTCACCACCGACGAAAATGTGAAGATCGGAGCATGGTAATTTCATAAAATTTTGAACACATCGATACAACTCACTTTGTATCAATATTGCACAACGTTTTTTCTTAGGCAACTATTACCGGAATCACTGCTCGATCAAAACATTCCTGACAACAGTGAAGCTTACGAAACTGTACTCAGGAAAGCCAAACGACCAGTATTCTTGTATATGCATGGCAATAGTGGCAACAGAGCGAGCAGTCATAGAGTTGAGCTGTATCAATTATTTCAAAGACTTGATTTTCACGTGATATGCTTTGATTACAGAAGTAAGCTGGTTAACAAAACAACTTGAATTTATGAAATGAATGGTTGTATTTTATTGAAAAAAATTTTTCCAGGCTATGGTGATAGTGATAATGTCGATCTGTCTGAAATAGGAGTCGTTTCTGACAGTAAATTTGTACTTGAATGGCTACTAAAACTTGTAAATAATTCAGCTCCTGTTTTCGTCTGGGGCCACTCTCTCGGTACTGGGTATGATATCATTTGCTAATCAATTGATTAGAGTAGTACATTTTGAGTGTTAATAATTTATATCATTATTTGCATTGTAGGGTGTCATCACATGTTTTAGCCATACTTGCTAACAAAGGCATGAGTCCTGCGGGACTATTTTTAGAATCCCCATTTAACAATCTTGCTGATGAAATCACAGAACATCCACTTGCTCGAGTAAGTATTTTATTCATTTATTTATTTTTTTTCTTACGACAATCCTAAGACACAACTACTTTTTTTTTAGATATTCAAACATTTACCATGGTTCAATTGGATCATTGTACAACCTTTGTATGAAAATGGACTCAGATTCGAATCTGACCAACATATTGGGCATATACTATGTCCAGTCATGATTTTACACGCGGAAGATGATAATGTCGTTCCATATTCTTTGGGTGAAAAGGTAACAAGTGTTTTAAAAATCAAGTATAGATTCTCTTAATATCGATTACATATCATTATTGCATTATTTCTTTAGCTATTTATTGCTGCCAAGTCATTGCATGTAACTGACATGCAAAGAATACAAATGACTAGTATAAATGCTACTTATGGTCTTGGACATAAGTACATATGTCGTTATAAAGAGTTACCAAGAATCATAGAGTGAGTATTGCACATGGTGATGTATTAGTCGCTTATGCAATCAGGTAACTAATAAGTCAATTATCGGTTTCAGGAACTTTGTGGCTCAATCATCTGACGGAACAACGATATGAAATGCGAAAATCAATCTTAGAGAATTCGCTAACGTCAAAATCAATTATTTCTCTACTGATTTTTCTTTGATAATCAAGAGAACTTGATAATCAAAGTAAATACACTTAATCGTGTGACTACATGTATTTATGTGCAAATATATGATGTGTTGGATACTTGATGTGTTTACACGTGTATGTATGTGTGTATGAGTTGTAAGACAATTCATTAATTTTTTTAGTATTCAATGTGTTGACCAATGTCCCTCCAAACAAAAATACTAATTACACGTAAAGCTGTATTATTATCATTATTATTTAGATGCATAATTAAGTATGTTTTCGTCAGTAGTCGACAAAAGAGGCTTACTCATTGAAGATGGTCGTAAAGTATTGAGATTGAGACATTCCTATAGTAAATTAGTTAATTGATATATGAGATTGTATGTTGTTCATCACCGTCATACAAATTATTCCACAAGTCTCCGAGTATTTGGACAATTGTATAAGCTGTAAATCACCAATATGTGTCCCTCACTGTTTTTGATCGTCGTTTTTAACTATTTGTAAAGAAAATATTTAAAAATATATATTTAACTTTTGGAATATATAGTAAGCGAAACGAACAATAACGTTTTTACCATTGTTGTATCGGATTATCAAAATAAACTTTCCTCTCTTCTTAGATGTGTTGGTTTATTTATCTTACGAATATTAAACAATTCAATCGAAATTATTTACCTAACTCCTATAAATACCCATGAGTATATTTGCTACCACCTAAACAAGTAGATAAGTAAATCATTTGGCGCTAGGCCGCTATAGCTCTCTGATAAGTACTTTCTATGCTCGGAAAAAATAAAAAATCTATACACAAGGAAACGAGAGAAATCGCGCCCTTATTTTCAAACCAGTCTACCAGATACACACACACATCGCCCACTTGCGATACAACCTTCACGAGTTCTGTCTTTAGGGCGGTGCTCACAACGGAAAAATAATCCCGTGTGAGAGAGCGCAGCGCCTCTCGCAAAATTATACCCACGTTCGTGTGGTCGCTCGAGTTCTTTTTACTTCGCCACCATGGGTGAGTTCCAAGCGTTTTCACACGTGTCCTTAAAAATCCTCGATCATCCTCGCGACTACGCGATTCTAAAGATTAATATGATGCTCGCGATAATTAACGGCCACCAAAGCGTCTTCGCGAACACGTATTATCCAGATTTTTCGCGATTTCACGGCACCCCCAATGTTTGGTCTAACCTCGACCGCTCTCCGTCTACTGTGGTCAAAACTTTGTTGTTGGTGTGATAAAGTTATTCTTGTTCTCCTCAATCTTGCCTCAGTGTTTGTTGGCATTTAATTTACGTATTACATTTGTCCGCAATAACGTTTCAAAGTCGATAATTTGGTGTCGTAGTTACAGTTTTGTGAAGTGTTGATGTAGATCGAGGATGGTCATGGATATAGTTCCTGTTAACGTGTCATGTAACGAGCCGGTGATGATAAAATCGTGTTATTTTGTGTATCGCAGGTATCTCCAGAGACCATTGGCATAAAAGGCGAGAAACGGGTGGCAAGAGAAAGCCAATCCGTAAGAAGAGGAAGTTCGAGTTAGGACGTCCCGCTGCCAACACCAAGCTTGGCCCTCAGCGTATTCACACTGTAAGTCGATTATTCTTATTATCTCCATTGCATTGAACAAGGTTGACAAGAGTGACTTAAAATATGTTATTATAAAAATAAGTGTGTTATCTTGGTTACTCCTTGCTTTTTCATATGATGATCACCTTACCTACTCTGAATGCCGTGCTGACATTCCCACAGCGTACTGAGACATTTTTAGTTTATAATGTAGGTCGTACATCTTGTGTAGTTGGTTATCTCAATTTGTTTCATCGCTTTTGTTAGGTACGTACAAGGGGAGGTAACAAAAAATACAGAGCTCTGCGTTTGGACATTGGCAATTTTGCTTGGGGATCTGAAGGCAGAGCACGCAAGACCCGTATTATTGATGTTGTTTACAATGCATCGAACAACGAGCTCGTGAGAACCAAAACGTTGGTGAAGAACGCTATCGTCACAGTTGATGCTACTCCGTTCAGACAGTGGTACGAGGCTCACTATGCTCTTCCCTTGGGACGCAAACGTGGAGCTAAACTAGTAAGTGTTTAGGTTTTCCGCTTTTTTTTTATAGTAGTTGGTGTAAATATTAGTATCTTCCAATGAGATATTATGGTGCAGTTATTACATTCTTTTGATGTAAAAAATTTTTTAGTGTGATATTTTATTTAATATTCAATGAAAAAACCAGTGATGGTATTAGTATGATGATTATTATTGCCTGAGTGCTATGCTGACAAATTTCCCACAGCGAACTGATAAACTACATAAACTTCAATTAATGTAGTTGTCACAGCTGAAGTACATGTAGTTCTAACAATATTCACGAATGTAAAGAATTTCGTATGTTACTTTTTTGCAGACTGAAGCTGAAGAAGAAGTCCTAAACAAAAAGAGATCGAAAAAGTGTATGTCAAAATACAAAAAAAGACAGAAGGTTGCTAAAGTAGAACAGGGATTGGAAGATCAGTTTGCTACTGGTAGAGTTCTTGGTATGTAATAGTATTTTTCTTTATCATTTGTCACATGCTTATTTTATTTTACTAAAATAATAAATGACTTAATAAATTGAAACTTTTACAGCTTGCATCGCTAGCAGGCCAGGACAGTGTGGTAGAGCTGATGGTTACATTCTAGAAGGCAAAGAGCTGGAATTCTACCTTAGAAAAATTAAGAGCAAGAAGGCAAAATAATTTTGTATTATGAAATAAAATAAAAATCGTTCAATAAAGTTTTTATTCTTTACTTTAATCAACATATCACTTTTCTTAATAAGAAACTCGTAGATCATTTGACGTTTATTTATTTATTATATGAACAAATATTCACGAAAAAAAAAATTGTTGAAAAAAACTACAGAACAAATGGTGTGAACATGGTTTCATTTACAGTTGAAAGTAAACTTACAAAACGAGACTGAAAATTCGTAACATTTACGGTCTCAAAAATTTTTAATTCTATTTTTTTATTGTTTCTACAAATATACCGTTTCTCGATAAATTAGAAAAAACTTATTTTTATTTATATAACGAAACATACATTTTAATGAGTTTAACAAAAAAAATTAATTTAATTATAAACACAGGGAAATAAGCTTCAAAATAAGAATAATATATCTTTATTTTTATAAAAAAGGTCTTTTTAAATGCCGATATCTAGAAATAGACTTGAAAATAAAATATAGATAGATACACGTGTTTTACATACTAACGTATCATGTAAATTTTCTCAAATTAAATACAGTGAAATGTCAATCTATAATTTTAAAACAACTTAGAGATATTGTTATGCCTATTAAATTTTGTCAGGTTTATTGCTACCTTCATTTTAGCAGATTAAGATTACACATACCGAATCATAAAGGCTCGAATGGTTTTACGTTTCCCTTTGAAATAAAGTCATAAAAGTCTTGTGAATGCACTCATTTAACTTTTATCAAGTTGTAATCAAAGAATCATGATTGTGATAAAATCAAAAAATATATAGTTATACAAAAAAAATTAGAACCATCGAAACCTTTTATTCAGTTTTTTAATATAGATTCACATTAAAAAATATTCTTTAACTTATGTTTTCTATACAATTTTGAAAATATAAAGCGATTGTTTTTTTTATAACACATTTGATCCAGCATTTACAAATCGCGCTTATTGTTCTTCACTTGAACATATCATTTCATACTGTTAATACCAGTTGATACACACAACTGTTAGTTTTCTCTTAGCATACACCAACATCGATCACGAAGTACTTTATACAAAGTAGAAAAAAAAAAGAAACATAAATATTCTACTCTTCTTACTGGATAAGTGTTATTTGTGTAATTAGTATATTTATATAATTTTTTTTTTTTTTTTTTTTTTAACGAATAACAACAAGAAGGAACAATATTCAAAATTTTCTCAACTTGCGCACTTTAAAAAGTTATAAAAGTAATAATAATAAAAAAAGAGTTGTCTATGAAAAATATATGCGCACATCCGTGGGAGCGCTCGTGCACGCTTATTTAATGTACATAAAGAAAAAGTGCAGAAAGGACACGAACGAGTCCCATATTTATCGGACGACACAAAAGTAAAAAAAAAAATATATATATATATCGTTGGGAAAAGATTATACACAGGTCAAAGAAACGAGGTTGAGCTGAGATCCGCTACGGCACCGGACGCTCTAGGTCCTTGAGCAAGCTATCACTCGTTATAAGGAGGTTTTTCTCATCACAGGCACCGACTGCTGCTGTTGCGACTTTGTATTAACGAGTTTTGGCATCACCTGATGCTTGGCAACATTACTGGTGCCGTGCCTCTGTGTCTGCAACTGTGAGGTCGAGGTGACCGATGAAGCGGATGACTGGGATGACGGCGGATTCTTTTGGGCGCAGTTGTTGACATGGGCGGACCAGTGCTTTTGCTGGCACGGATAGTCACAGTAGGCCGTATTCCAGCAACAAAAGAACATCGCCTCGCGACCGCAAACCACGCACCATTGCTTGCGCTTTGTCTCTTCGACGCAGCGCCGCTTGTCGATCTCGGCTTCGCGATGTGCATTCTCCAGTGCTCGATGATGCTCGATTTCTAAGCTCGCCTTCATCTCTCGCAGTTTTTGTTCTAAAAACAAATTTGCATCATTAGTCGACTCCGTAAGAGCTTGAGAAACACAAAATCAATCAAAGCTCTTTAACAGCTTACCCTGACTGTGTTTGAGCTCATTAATTTCTTGCTCGTGCTCCCATTTCATCCGCTCTATCTTGAGTTTGAGGTGATGTATCGTAGCGTCGTGATGATTCGCGATACCACCAGCTGCCACCGCGTTACTCTCAGCCGCGTCCCGGACCGTGTCGGCAATCAGCTGGGCCATTTTGTTGACCAATTCTCGTGAATGCCGATGGATCTGGGCCGTCAGAGGACCAGCCTCGGGTGGTGGAAGCTCGTAGGCCGTGTTTATTGAGGACGTCGTGGAAACGATAGCCGATGAAGCAGAGGAATTAAAAGTACCAGCAGAAGGAGTGCAACGCGTATCGTTGTTCTGTTTGGTCGAAATGTGAACCAGCGAGTCATTCGCTGCGCTCGAGTTCGGCCTAGTCAATGATTGTGCGGAATGTTGGGGGAATTGCGGTGTCTTGTTTGAGAAGGACTTGCGCGCCTTGCTCGGCTTCCTCACAATCGTCAGCTAAAGTCATAGTAGAAAATGAGTTAAAAAATTAAATGAGATAAATCGTCAAGACTACAGGCCATACAATTTTTTTTGTGACTTACCTTTGGTTGAGCGGGCTGAATTGATGGATGAAGGGATGATACTTCGTCTTTCGGCTCTTGCTTGATTATCGTGACTGCCGTATTCAACCTAATTTCTTTTTCGGCCTGATTATTAAAGTGTTTCATCGGCTCGGACACGCTCGAACTAAATTCTTCGAGTATGGCCATTTGTTCTTTCTTAGATATCAAGGGCATCGTCGTCATCGGTTTATTGTTGCTATTCGACGTCAGATCACTCTTGTCTTTGGGTTGAATCGCAGAGATCACCGAAAACTTTGCTGCCTCTTTCGTCACCGGCATATTTATCGTTTTTATCGTCCTATTCACTATTTTGCCATCCTGTTGAATGACTTGAATAGTCTTGGAATTTAAAACTTTTGTCGGTATAGTCGGATTTTTTTTCGGGAGAATGGATACCAACTTCTTGCCTGTGCCCAAAATTTTCACTGGAGTTGCTTCGAGATTGTCTGGGAAATTGTTCAGTGAAGGCAAGTTATGGATGATCGTGGTAGGTTTCAAACTGTTCATAGTCTTTACAACTACCATTGGCTTTCGCATGGATTCATCCAACTTGGGGCTCTCTTTGGTCAGTTTTATTTTTTTCAAGACTGGCTGTCTGATCTTTCTTACTGGTACAAGGATGGGTTTTGGAATATTGTTTTTTGTGCTACTCACGTCTAATTTAGGAGTAGTAACTTCCGGCGTGCTGGTTGTACTCTTTTTGACGTCTTTACTACTACTTTGGTCATTATTGTCGTTGTCCTTGTTGTTGTTGGGGTTGTTTTTGTCATTGTTGTTGTTATTGCTACTGGCATTATTTGCAGTTGGTGTTGTTGGTGTGGTAGTAGCTACAGGTGCAGGAGGGCTTTTACTTTTGCTCTTTTTCGGAGGGATAAGAACGACTGCTTCCATCTCGGAACTTAGCCTGCTCGTTTTATTCGGAACAGATGATGGCTCCTGCAATTCGGGAGACAGGAGTCGCTTCTTTCGTAGCACCTTACGCCTTTCTGATGTTGGCCGAATGTTTGCCGTCAATCCATTTGAACTTGGCGTAACAGTGTTTTTAAGATTAGGCATCTTCTTCTCTGCCTTGGCAGGTGTGACTTTATTTTTCACAGCAAGAGTTTGTACTTCGGTTTTTGGATTTTCCTTCTTATTGACTTTATTTTCTAGCGGGTCGTAGTTAGGTAGCAGTATTTGAATTTGTTTAAGATCGTGTGGATCGTACTGAACTTTTTGCAAAGAATACCTAGAAAAAATAAACTCGTATACTAAAAGTTTCGATCAAAGACGAGATCATATTTAATGTATTTCAAAGTTCGTACTTAAACTCTCCAAAAACGCGTTCAAGTTTTTTAACGTGGTCTTGAACCTCTTTCATGCATTGATCCATCTCAATTTTTTTCTTCCTGGGTGTACCAGCAGGTGGCTCCTTAGAGTACAAATATATATCTTTGGGCGATACCCAGGCACGATCGTGTTCACCAAAGAAACGAACATCCACTAAACCCTGGGCATTAAGTCGCGGCATTGCTTTTGCCGGCCAAAAAGGGAAACCTTTTAGTTTCGCCCAGACGATCGGATGTGGTCGACGGCAAGGCTCAATAAACCAAGATGGCAACGGTCGTGGTAAATTACGCCCGTGAGCAAAACAATCTGGACAGGCCTCGATCTCCGACACTTCTTGTTTCGCTACTTTCAACATTTGTTTCGCTGTGTTTGTCAATTTTGATGAATCTGTACAGAAATTTAAAAAAAAAGGTATAATGTACGGATTGGTAGGCTGACATGCGTCATTAACTAACCATTAAGAAACTCACATGTATTGAAAACTATACAGTTATGCTGAATCCATCTGGCGTCAGCCATAAAAGCATCTGTACTAGCGTACTTTTTGGCACGAACATTGGATTCCAGTAAGCTTAAATCCATTGGATTGACAACGTAATCCAAGTAATTAGGAACATCGTCTGGATCGACTTCCTTCAAAAAGGGCTGGGACTGTAATACATAAATAGATTAGCATGAAACTATGATGACCTAAAAAATACTTTTGTTGTCTTTTCATAGACCAATTTTTAATTTCTTCCAAGTATTTTATTAAATTAGAAAAAAAAAAAAACAAAAATAAATAAAAGCTTCAAAATGTAATCAACCGAAATCAACTGAATTGAAAGTCAAATTAGTAAGACTGAAGAAATTTAGACTGGCAAAAGGAGCGTACCCCAGTTTGATCTCTCATGCGCTGGACAACATGTTTAAGCATCACGACCAGCTGCTCAGGGGTAAGCTGTGCCATGGTTATCAAGCGATTTTCAGCGCTTTCGGCCTGGCTTATGCCAACGCACTCGCTGCATTCCCAGTCGATGACGCTGAGTGGCGGAGCACCACCCATGCAGCGTCGATGCCAGGAACGCGGGCACGTGGTGCATTGCATTTCCACCGACTCTTTGTGGCAGCGCCAGCAGTATTTGTCATTTTTTTTCAACTCTTCTACAACAGCTGGTTTTTCAGGTGTTGGCGTTTGTACTGGCTCGGCGACCGTGGCTGATGCTACAGTAGCTGCACGCTTGCGCTTCAACGGGCTGCCATTTTGTTGCTGTTTCTCGACTGCTGGCGAGCTCTGCTCTGACGACAGCCTGCCAATGGACAATAATTTTTATGATTTTTCTTTTTCTTTTTTTTTTTTTTTTTTTTTTTTTTTACAAGACACTGTTCACTTTAAAAATATATTCGTAAATTAATAGCTATAAAAAATAAACAATTTGATATCTCGAATTCAAAGATGCTTGGAATTATATAACGACTTTACACAATTACTTTTTTGGAAGAAATTAATGTTGATTAGTAAACTTACACTGTGCTCTTGCGTTTTCTTTTTCCTTCTCTGGTATTGATGCTTGTGTTAACGCTGTCGGTTTCCTTGGTATTTTTGTCATTTGCAAGATCTTTTGTTTCTTTTGTATTCTTCATGTATTTAAAAAAAAATTTGTTATTTTTGACGGTAATCGTCACTTTGTTTTCAACTCCCTCAGTGGCTTCGATGTCCTTGTTTTCCTCAGATTTCTCAACTTCCTTGGCCTCCGCAACGTTCTCTTTAGCAGTCTCTTTCTTAGCAATTGCACTAATGACGCTTCTCTTGACTCTCTTAATTTTTACAGGATCTGTATTTTCTTTGATATCTTTAACATTACTACTATCTACAGTACTCTGAATTTCTTTTACATCTTCTGGACTTTTGGTATCTACAGTACTATCTAAACTCTTTGCATCTTGCATTTCATTTGCCTCTACTGGTATTGCTTCTTTTACATCCTTTGTATCTTCCACATCATTTGTACTCGTATTTTCTGTTTTCTCTGTACTCTTAATATTTTCTGCGACTTTCACATCTTCCATATTTTTATTATCATCCTTCAGCGTATTTTCTGCGGTTTTGTCACTTTGTGACCTTGGTGTATCGTTATCCCCCTGATTATTTGGTTCAATATCCATTTCATCTTTTGTACTCTCGACATTCTTGTTAATTACAGGATACTCAAACTCTTTATTACTTTCATCAAATTTAGGAGTTTCCGATGATACTGACTTTAATTCCAATGCATCCATATCTGAACTATCGGAATCTTTATCCAGACTGGCAACACTGTTTGGCTTTTCATTATCTACTTGTTTAGGTTGTTCTACCTTAGAATCAGTCTGTAAGGTATTGATTTTTGCGTCGTCTTCGTTTTCTTTTGTTAAAAGTAAAAGATCACCCTCAGTTTCATTGGTCTCAGCACATGAGCTGCTGACATCTTCAATTTTGTTATGTTCCTCTAGTAACACTTTATTGGAGCTAACTTGATTTGTCCCTTGCTCGTCATTCTTATATTGGACAGCTGAGTCAGAAACCTCCATTTTATTAGCTTTATCCATAATTATATCCTCACTGCTTTCATTTGAATCCATGTTGCTTGAAAGCTCTTGCTCTAGCATCTATAATGAAATCAAATAACAATATTGAAGTGATTATGATGTTTAGATAAAAGTTTTAATCATCCAATGTCTTGCCTAAGACGTTGCTATAGTATGTATGTACAATAACCTGATGCCTAACATCACTGCACAAATAACCAAGCTGCAAAGCTTTGCAGTATCCACATGTATATAGAATGTATCTAGCTAATATCACACTATGAAGGACGAAAATGAAATATAGTGTAAGTAGAACGCAAAATTACTTGATCAGAGCTAGCTCTCTATAATGAAGAATGAGGATGCCAGGGACAATTCCTGTGCTCTGCAGAGCAACAGCTATGCGGCCAATCAAGCCTTATAGTTTGGCTTCTTCAATATAGAGGGCAATACTTTCTCCCTACCTTGTGGTGGCACAGTGTGGCAATGTGGCCTTAAGCAATTATTGCCTTGCCATGTTACTTAAATTGCCAATGTAGCTGCATGAAGTACATGCATACATAATTACTTACCAATTTGATAAACTTATTTTTATATAAATAAATTAAATGATCGGTACATTACAAAGGGTTAATTTTGTGTTCTTAGTAGACGAACCAAGGCTATACACAAAAAAATGGTCTAACTGTAGCTATGTAACCAGAAGCTGGCAAGGATAATATCAAGGACATATTATGTTTGTTCAACAATTCCATACCATATTGTGAACAAAGAAGTTATATTATATTCATGGCTATTTCAGAACATCCTTCTTGGAACATTTTGCAATAACAGCGTGTCCATAACAATTTAGGCTTCAGAAGGATAAAATGTTTTTCTCAATTAAGATTATCTTATTGTTGAAAGTAGGGTGGGAAGAATCCGTAGTAAATTTGTTGTTACTGTTAGTTAAAATCATGATGAATATTTTTAACAACCTGTAATGGTTCTTTCAAAATAAATGTGCGCTTTGCGCGAAGAGGGCTTAAGAAAGGTTAAAAATACCTTTGTTAGTTGCTTGTGAGATGGCAATTGCATTGATTATGAATATAACTTTATAGGAATATTATATAGTTTTAAGAAAGTTACATAACAAATACTTTGTACTTACGTTTACCATTAAGTTCCCCACAAAGCAGAAAAAATTAATACCATAAGTAAATTACGATCTCAATAATCTTAACAGAACTGAATTGATGCATTCTGGCTTAAACTTTCTCTAGTCATCATATACGTTTAAGTACTCTACTTTAAAAAAAAAAAAAAAAAAAAAACACTTTTGTGTAACGAATTTATAGGTATNACCCCCTAACGTTGTGTTTGATTTTTTTTTATTTTTTTTTTTATTTCGTGATTAACGAAAATTGTGTGCCAATTAATTTGTTAAAGCTATCACTGTTTTTAATGCAGTTTGTAAATCAGGATTAATTTGTTTTATTAGAAAGAAAGAAAAAAAAAAACACTTTTGTGTAACGAATTTATAGGTATGAACCTCTTTAGTATACAAAGTAAGCACATTTTGACATACCGCAGATACAACAAATTGATAAAACAATGCACACGTGAGATTATAGAGGACTCGAGATAACGTGGGATAAGAACAAATTCTACTTTAATGTTCAAGAAATTTGCTATTTAGCTCGTAAATTTTTATCATGAAAGTTAAAACATACTCATTACAAGAGACTCTACACTTTCCAACTCGATAAAATTTATAATAGTAGATACTTTGTTGTTACATGAATACAAGAAAGACGTGGATAGCAAAGAAGAAATGCTAACCGAGTATCTTCAGTTTTCAGGGTTTACTTTCAGCAACTATTTGCACCAAATCCACGTAAATATGTGGATATAAGTAGAGAGCAATGTCCACGTTTACGTGGATGTAGGGCTCATAATATCCACGTAAATAATAATGATACTATCCACACAGCACTCCAGGTGTTATCTGTACTAAATAATATCCACGTATTCACGTGGATTTGGTGCAAATAGACCCAGCAGCGTTTCAGCAAAGAGTATTCTTATTACCTATATTCTCAGGTGTGTCAAGGTAGAGAGTACACCATCAGTACTGAGTCGCACTTAGGCCCAGGACCCTCATGTCTCGGCTTAAAGAGCCGGTACTCTTAATAAAAACGATATATCCACACAACTCCTTTGTGTTGTTTATTTCGTGTCCAGCTTTGAGTGAAGCGGCTTCCCAAGTACCTGGTACACAAGCTAGAGGACAAGAGAGATTGTGACATGTAGAGGATGATGAAAGAAGTTAAAAAAACTTATACGAAAAGCGAGCAGGTAAGTAGGCACGTAGTACAAAATATACATACTTACTTGAACGTGGGTATACGGATACAGGAGATGCGCGTCGTCGCCGTGGCTTCTGCTTGCGTTGTCTCCAAAGAGTCGTTCTTCCTTCTCTCCGGCTGGCTGGCTCTCTCTCTCTCTCTCTCTCTCTCTCTCTCTTCGTTTCACCGCCGCACTTTCCCCTCCGAAGTAAACTCGAAGCTCGAAGCCGATGCTGAATCTTCGGTGAAGTCGCAGCCAAAAGAAGCCAAGTTATGATGATAAGTCGCCCGGCCAGTTGTTTGCGATTGGTGCCTCCATCTCGTGCTGATCTGCGAGTCGCCGGTGCTAACGGTGATGTTGCAAGTCAACCGAGTCAACACACTGCAGCCAATACAAGATGACAAGTATATGTATTGTCACGTGTGTCCGGGAAACGAGGAATCGGTTGAAATGTTGTTGGGAGAAACTTCTCACATGGCGGCCCTCCCCCCTCCTTTCATAACCCAGGCCTGTTAGCCTGTAGATGGGTTTGCAATTGTATTGTTTTTATATGTGTGTATATACATGACATCTATCTGCATCAGCGAAACTCAGAGAAAGTCCTCGATGACACGATGACGCGTGATGTGTGTCATCTGTCACCGCAGTGTAGTGTTTCCAAAAAGAGCAAAGATAAACACGCGTTTTTGAGTACTTATAAATACTTAGGTACAAATGACGGTCGATTCACAGAGAAAGTTACCTATTCCACGATTGTAGCATATATATATAATATGCACAAAAGCCGAAGAAGATCACAAAGCTATAGCTATGATCGAGATGGGTTATTGATGCACAGTGATGGGCATTAATACTCGTGATAACTCGTGTTTTCAACGTAGCAAGTTGGGAACACGAGTTATATAATGCCCACGTATATATTAACATAAGGTGCAGGGTGCAGGTACCAAAGGGCCATTTTTTCTTGATTACATTTCTTGACGTAACCTTATGTTTTTTTTTTTTTCCGCAGCATTGTTCGGGTTTTCCTTGGTTATAGGAGAAAAATAGTGTTCGCCACGTAAGCACCACATCGGACCGGGGCTACCTCACGTCCCTCGGGTCGCGAAATATAGCCCCTGAGGCGATATGGCACCTTTGTGACGAAAACTACAGAAATATATATGTGAAGCTCTTTCGACCACTAGACTTTTATTGCAGCTTCAAGGAAATGTGCAACATTTACCCATAACCATTTGAATAAAATATACATACTTCTACACATGTATGTCGAATGTTTATAATCTCTTTGTCAGTTTCAGTTGATTTACAAAAGACTTATTCATTTAGAATCATCTGCTTCACTTTGTATCGAGTAGTTTGCGCATCGGAGAATTCAAAAGTTAGCGTAAAATTGTTGTTTTTGCCGTCTGGGCAGTAGTTTTCGTACCTGGTGGCCCATGTGTCCCCACTGGGCCCGAGGGACTCGTAGTGCTTGCCCCGGTTGGCTTTTCGTATTGGGGGTATAGTAAATCTCCAACGGTTAAAAAAAAAAAAAAAAAAAAAAACGCCCAAGGTAGAAACATAAGGGTTGTTTTTCCACTCATTACTAATTATTATAGGGTACGAAAAGCGCGCTTCTCGCTCATTTTTACTCGCCGCAATGGCTAATTTTTTGCACAGTACTCGTTTCAAACAGTATCAAAACGCATCGATATTAAATGTTTGCTTGATTAAACATAGAGAGCGTGGCGCAGCGATTCATTGAATGCATATATACTTAAATTAAAAAGTGTGAAATCCGTAAAAACGAAATATTTTTTTCTTCTTCCATTTTGACATCGTACAAACACTGGTCGTAGTTTGTTTCATCCCGGGGGGGGGGGGGGGTATATCGAATTTAAGTCGTGGTTTCAGGGAATAAGATGCATATGCGTTTATATATGCACATTCTAAGCTCACGTGTAAATAATTATAAAGCTTGCAAAACTTTAACGTACACGAGCCGAAACGATTTTTCTCTCGCACCCCCGCGTGTTTATATGTATATTCTTCATTAGATATGATGTAAGAAGAAATTGAAGGTTCGAGGGTATAAAAACAGGAGTTTGATACTAATGGACCAAGTATAAACAAAAGACGAGAAAATAACGTATATTCCAGAATTGCAGGTGCATCAGGTGTGTATACCTATGGTGCCGATGAAGGAAAAAAAAGAACGAAGAAAGGGTGGAGAGTATAGCGCGCATCCTCCATACACACACGCATCTGCACGCACCATCTGAGGGTCTTTCCACTGCTTCCACACCATATGTATATATATATATTATATAAGTTCCCTGCACCCCATAAAAGGTCGGCGAATGCTCGCGTATTACTCGTGTATACGTGTTTCTACACCATCACCAATACCTACATAAACGCTTGTGCACCATAAAAGGGCGCTCTCTTCTCTCCTCTTATTTCGCGCGCTCTTCTGCACACTGCATTATTATATATATATATAGGTACATTTTCTCTTTCTCTCGCATCGGCCCCCGTAAAATATACTCTACTCCCTCCCCATCTTCCTCCTCCGTTCGTCCGTCGCGTCCTCCATTCCATGTTCTCTCTTGCCCTATCTCGTATTGTGTCTCCACGAAGAGGACTCCTCCTCGACCCATCCGCTTTTTTTCTTTTGTTTTTATATTCTTATTTGTTTTTTTTTTTTTTTTCTTCAATCGCCCACCATCTCCGCCTCGTTTGAGCAACGTATATACAATCAAGACGCGCGCAGAAATTCGTTGATTCGGGAAATAATTCGGCGTGCGTGGGTGCCCCTCTGTGTATTTTTTTTTTTTTTTTTTTTTTTTTTTTTTCATAGAGAGCGGGGGGAGACGGAAAACAGGAATCCAGCCAGTGGTCCATACACTCGCTCATCTCTATCCATGTAAAAGAGATCGGAGTGCCACTCGTGTATATATATAGTTACACTTACTTCTTCGACTGTGTATAATATATATGTGTGTGTGTACAGTGCTCGCTTCTACGTGGCTGACTCCGAAACAATATATACTTAATAAGCAAAAAGGGGCACACGGAGAATAAGTTACAAGTATGTACAACGTATAAGTATACGGACACGAGAGTATAAGACTGCAAAAAAAATAAAAAAAAAAAAAAGGAGAGAAAGACGCCGCAGTCTGTCTCTCGCGCGCGCGCCCCGAGAAAGAGAAAATGTCGCCGTGGTTGGCAAGTGCGGAGTGCAGATGTGACGAGGATGCACCATGAAGACGACACCGCTGGCACCGGCAGTGGATAGAGCACACTGTGTGTGTGTGTTTTTTTGCGTGGTATCGGCACATCCTGATGGCCTCGGGTTCAATACTCCTCACCCCCCTGCCCCGAGTATAGTGTATCGTAGAGGAACATGATCGAGGGACGATTTTTAACGATTTTTTTTTAAGAAAAATTTTTTGCCGATACACCATCAGCCGCTTCTCTCGTTAAACAGTGTCTCCCCGTCAGCGGTGAAAGTGGAGAATATTACACCCCTATTACAGTGCAGTGTGTGTGTGTGTGTGTGTGTATGGTACTTGGCTTGGTCGCGCTGCGGGGCAAATCAATCGATCGGCGAAGATGACGAGGCGAGCCTGGAAAAACTCATCCGTCCTCTTCGCCGTCGTCGTCCTCCTCGTCTCGGCAGCCTCGGCCCGTCACAACACTCGCGTCAGCAGCACCGATCCCCTAGCTCCCCACGGAAAATGCGAACGCATCACCATCAACCTCTGCATGGACATGCCCTACAACGAGACGATCATGCCGAATCTGTTGAACCAGGTATACACATCAATGGTTTGGCGACGAAAATTTACATTTTTCTCTTTTATTTGTACATGATATTTATATGGTATGCGGGGAAACAACTTTTTTCTTTCTGATCAATCATTATTTCGTTACAACGCGTATAAAACATTGTTCACGTGATTGATTGTCTATAGTTATCACTTTGTGTGTGACAAAATTTGCCAAAGGTTGATTATAAAAAGGCCACTGACATTATGTACATATAAGTACATCTCTTCTCGCGCTTAAATTACATTACATTACATTACGTTACATTATATTATATATTGTAGTAATCGTATTATCATGTGACCAATGAATCTTACATTTATAAAAGCCATTAAAAAAACAAAAAGTTGTAATAATTGTTGAATAACGTCCAGCAAAAGCAAGAGGACGCTGGTCCCGAGGTCCACCAGTTCTCTCCTCTGGTGAAGCTCAAGTGTAGCCCCGACCTAAAGTTCTTCCTTTGCGCGATGTACGCGCCCGTGTGCACGATCCTGGACAAGGCGCTACCCCCGTGCAAGTCGCTCTGCGAGAGCGCCAGGAACGGCTGCGAGAAGCTCATGAACAACTTTGGCTTCTATTGGCCGGAGAGCATGGATTGCAACAAGTTCCCGGAGAACGGGGGCGCGGAGTTGTGCGTCGGCAGGAACGAGTCCTCGCCCACCGAAGTGCCCCTCGTGGACGACGCCAAGCTACCCGCCCCGGAGTTCCATCCGTCCTGGGGCAACATACCCAAGCCGTTTAGCAACAGTGGCTTCATGCTGGGGGCACGGAACTACGGCTTCGTCTGTCCCGTGCAGTTCAAGGTGATGCCCGGGCTGGGCTACTCGTTGAAGGTCGGCAAAAAAGTCGAGCCCAACTGCGCGGCGCCCTGCGACGGCATGTTCTTCACCGAGAAGGAAAGAACGTTCTCGAGGGTCTGGATCGGCACGTGGGCGACCCTATGCGCTGCTTCCTGCTTCTTCACCTTTTTGACCTACCTCATCGACACGGACAGGTTCAGGTAAACATTATAACGACATCCACATCACTGGAACGTGACAAAAACAACATGTGTGTGTATATGTATACATTTGATCCAGGTATCCGGAGAGGCCCATCATCTTCTTGTCAATATGTTACTTGATGGTTGCTCTGACCTACATCGTCGGTTGGGCCTCTGGAAAAACAATAGCCTGCAAAGAGCCGTTCGCGCCCCCGTTGGGCATGAGGATCCAGATGCCCTTCACCATAACGCAAGGCACGAAGCACGAAATGTGCACCCTGTCGTTCATGATTCTTTACTTTTTCGGGATGGCTTCGAGCATCTGGTGGGTCGTGCTGACCCTCACCTGGTTCCTGGCCGCTGGCCTCAAGTGGGGCCACGAGGCGATCGAGGCCAACTCTCAGTACTTTCATTTGGCCGCTTGGGCCGCTCCAGCGATCAAGACCGTCTCCATCCTCGCGATGGGAAAAGTCGAAGGTATGCGGCTACAATAATTTTTTTTTTTCATCTATAAATAACACGTGGAGTGTCGAATGGAGCTCGCGATGCTTCTAAAAATACATACAATATGTTTACCGACCTGTGCCGATTTGGCGAATTTTCAAAAAAATCACATCCCACAGGCGATGTTCTGTCGGGCGTTTGCTACGTGGGCCTGTACAACGTCGAGGCCCTCCGAGGTTTCGTGCTGGCTCCCCTGTGCGTGTACCTCGTGCTCGGGACGATCTTCCTGCTGGCCGGCTTTGTCTCGCTCTTCCGCATCCGCACGGTGATGAAGCACGACGGGACAAAGACGGACAAACTCGAGAAGCTCATGATCCGAATCGGCATCTTCTCGGTCCTGTACACCGTGCCCGCCCTCATCGTCATCGCCTGCCTCTTCTACGAGCAGGCCTACTTCGACAGTTGGATGCTCACCTGGAACAGCGACATGTGCTCGCGACCCCTGTACTCGATACCGTGCCCGGTGGGCTTGCCGCCCACAAATTTGGGCAGAAAACCGGATTTCGCGGTTTTCATGATCAAGTACGTCATGACGATGATCGTCGGCATCACGAGCAGCTTTTGGGTCTGGTCGAGTAAGACTCTCATCAGTTGGAGGCAGTTTTTTCACTACATGAGGGGGACGCGTACAAACACGTACGTATAGGCACTGCCTCAGACGACGAGGACGAGGTATAACAATAATGTATGTCCATTGGATTGTTGGATCGTCAATTGTTCTCTTTTGTTTGGCTTTCTTTTTTCCATCTCCATCTATACACCTAATACATGGGAATTGATAACAAATATCTACTAGTGTTTAAAAGACAAAAAAAAAAAAAAACAATACAAAACTAACGATTTAAAGTGCAAGTTATTCGTTGCGTGTATACTCAACTTTTTAAGCTTGAACTTTGAGTGTTCAAAGACTACTGTGGTCTTTTGTGAGATGTCATTAAATATTTTTATGCGGATGTGTTGATTGCAGGTGGTTACGTGAACAAACAATAAGAGCAGAGAATAAAAAAGCTTTCTCTACTATTGGGAGTAATCAATGACAATTGATGTAAATGTGGCATTACTTTGTCGTCAATTTTTTTTCGCAAAATGGATATTAATTGAATATCTTGGTAACCATCATCCTCATGCAATACAATGTATTACTGGGTATGAAAATATTTAATGTGTCAAAAACAGCTGAGAGGGCAATTAATGTGCGTTTGCATTTAATCAAAAGACTGTTGTAACTGCAAAATATCCTCATGAGTTCTAATAGCTCATCGACTGATTGTTAATGCAACTGCCAAAACTTTTTTACTGCATTGATACGCTGTGCATACTCAAAAGTAAAATCACGTTCATTTACTGGTTCGAGAAAAAAAAAAAAAAAAGTTTTTTTTTCTGCTACAACAGTAAGTGTAATAAAAAAGATGTTAACTAAAGTTACTCTCAATCGCATCCAAGTTCACTTGTATATTGGAATTGTGGATGAGCCTTGATTTTCGTGTTCCTACAGCGTCGACGATAACACATTGGTTCTAACAAAAGAGATCTGATGGATGAAAGCAATTTTGCGCGTATGACCCCCTAACGTTGTGTTTGATTTTTTTTTATTTTTTTTTTTATTTCGTGATTAACGAAAATTGTGTGCCAATTAATTTGTTAAAGCTATCACTGTTTTTAATGCAGTTTGTAAATCAGGATTAATTTGTTTTATTAGAAAGAAAGAAAAAAAAAAACACGATTTTTACAATGTTAATCTTTTATTTTATAAAGAGCATAAGACGCTTGAAAATTGTATGTAATCAAATTTTTCATGACTTTTTATCAAAAAAAATATTTATACCTTTCAATTATTATTGTGCCTCGTGATAATAGCAATTAAACATAAAAATGCACAATATTTCAGAGAAATTCTTCCATGACATGTTTGACCAAATACTGACGTTTTTCGATACTACATTATAGCCATTTCGTATTAAATTTAAATGCCAATCAAATCCAAATTTGATAAAAAGTCTCGTGTACTAGAAATAATGTTTTTTGTACTTCAATTAGTGTGAAGTATTTCAAAAAATCAAACTAACACGAACAAAATAACTTTACTAGATTATTCACTACTTTTAGTTATTTTTATATAAGCATGAATTAAAAAAGTAAAGCGTGTCCATATGAACATATAGTAATAACAATAAGTAATCAACAAATAATCCATAGTTTTCACGTTTCCTTTGAAACTTAAACGCTTTAATGATTAAACTCTTGCAAAACATGAACAATATACACACATCAAACTCGCATAAGACGTTTTGGAGCTGTTGATAAGATTATTTATATATAAAGATATTAACAATTTTTGAAATATTTTTTAAAATACGCGTGCCCTCATTTCGCGATGAGATTTATCACGTAATTTCATTGGCCCATGTGACAAATAATGGCTAACTAACCGACTGTACATAATAATGATGATGCTGTAGTTTTTAATGTGTACATTAAGGTTTTAATACTTACCCCCCACCCTTGTACATACATGTCACAGCCCTGCATACTTTTTAAGTGTTTCGATTTAAGAAAATGTTCATTCGTATAACAACTGCGTTGAAAAACGTTTTTTATGCTGCCTTTTCTTTTCGTTATTGAAATTTTAGCCACTTAATATATTTGCGTTTATTTAAAATTTTTTTTAAACTCATCAAAGTACTGCGTTGCCTTAGATTTTTCTACGATTGCATTTCAGATATCCGATTTCGGTACAATAATTAAGAAATAATTTTAATTCTTCCGAGTTCGATGATTACCTAAATATAGTAAGGATGATGCTTTGCGTGTTTGGCCGACTGAAATTACTCGGCGTAAGCGTTAATTGTTTCCTATATGTATATGAAAAGAATATAAAGTTTACAAAATTCGTCCATTTTGAAACTATCGAGCTTTTGTGAATGTGAATCCCTGAATTTTCGGCATCAGCTGTGTTACGCAACTACGAGGAATGTAAAGAAAAAAAAAAAAAATAAATAACGAGAGAGAGAAAACACAATTATGGGCACATGGATATTAAATGTTTCCTCGAGTTGAGCGTATATTATGTATATGTATAAGCAAAAATAGTATTTATATTTGTGTGTGCGCGTTTGTGTTGATTGCACACACGCCTATGGTCAATGCATTCTTTGAGAATCGAGGAGAAGACGCAATTTTAAAAATATATATAATTTATATGAATATATATGATGTATATTCTGTGTATTAAAAGGTATGCAAATTTTTAAAAGTGTACGTTTCGAAACAATGCGCGAACGCTTATATGAATATACTATATATCTTTTGTATGAATCGTGTAACTCGAAGTTAAGAACAAGATGACGAAAGAAACAGAATTTTTGTAATCCGTTTATATTCATGATTTATCGACGCCGATCGATATAAATTGAAGCAAAAAATGTTAAATCATTTTTATGATTAATAGTGAAATTTTGTTTTCCCAAGTCTGCCGACTGTTATTAATTAATATTGCGATTTACGAATTATTAAAGTAATGTAAATTATATTAATCGAGAGATTCACTTGTTGTATACATTTTATATGATAAAAAAATATATGATTATAAGCAAACAGAAGAAAAACATTTATTTGCCAAGCTCCTCGTATCAATATCATTGGAATATTATACATGCATATCAAAAATATCTCATGCCACAAAAAACTCAATTTTACATCTTTTATTAATTCAATTGTACATAATACGAAATTTTTACAAGATGTTGGTTCACAAACCCAAGTACAATCCCTCTTTCTGATAGAAAAAAGGTGAAACAACAGTCTCATTTTGTTACACGCGCTTATACAACACAAAAATTCCCAAGACTCAACAGTTGAGCTTAAAATATTACAAAGCTACTCGATCATTGAACTCTCGCACCACGAATCGTTCATCCGAAAAAAAAGAACATTCACAAATTGCCAAACCACACCTCGGCAAAATTAACGAGGCACGCCTCTATCACAACACCCAACGCAAAAAATGAAAAAAAAAAAAAAAAAAGAAAGAAACTTCCGCGCGCGCAGAACGCCTTCACACACGCGAAGAGCTCGATGATGGTAAGGCCATGGGGAATCCGAAACCGGCTCAGCTGGCAGTTGCGCTCTTGGGTGGCTTCAGGACACCCTTTTTCCTGAGATACTTGACGATCAAGGGCGTGCAGATGAGCGTCGTCGAGATGCGCACGGGCGCGAAAAGCTTGTGGATGGCGTAGGCGATCAGAAAAGTCGAGCCCTCGTTCATGATCTTCATGGCGAGCTTGTCGCTGTCGTTCGTGTCGAGGCTGTTGACTTCACCGCTCCCCATGAACGAGGACACCGTTTCGATCATTGGCGACAGATCCAGGCCACTGCAACGTTACATACGAGTATCATTAGAGACCATGGGGTACGACGGTGGTTTTTTTTTCTTCTTCAAATTGTCGTATTTTAAAATTTGAAATTCAACCGCGGGAGATCGGTAAGGTTTATCTTTAAAAAATAAAAAATAAAATTGTCCATCCAGTGCATGGATTTCTTTTCTTTTTTTGTTTGATAAACATAAAGTAGCAACACAAAATGGATGAAAACAGACCTAGACACGAGCCCGTAGAAGATACCGAGCGACACGAGGGATATGCCGACGTGGAAAACGATCACCGTCCTCCCGTAATCCCTGATGATGATGTTGAGCCTCTCCGCCTTGGACATCTTCAACCAACTTTTCTGATCGATTTTTCCCGGCTTTGCGCCGTCCGAACCAGTTTTCGATGTCGAGACCTGCTTTGCGTCGGTCGCTCCGTTGCGGCTGGTACCCCTAGTTGACGTCGCGTAGCCGCGGATCGTTAGCGAATCGGAGATTGCACCTGTGTACGATAAATCAAAGCGAACGTTTCGGGCTACACTTTTTTTTTCAATCCGATGTATGGCAGGGAAGGGAGAGTCGTGGGAGATTTTTTGTTGAACGAGGATCGGCACGAGCGATTTTTTCTGCATTACCGATCGAAAGATCGTCCGATGCTGCGAAGCAAACCCATATACATATCCACGTCATAGTTCAAGAGTTGGGTCGTGCATTTAAAGCACCTACAAGTTGATGAGTTTCAGATCATTTATGAAGTCATTGTTTAGAAAAATATTTAATTACACAAAAGAATACCAGTTTATTGATGTGTTATTGTAGGTCGTACATAAATTACACAACAATGGAATTAATGCTTGTTTCGTACAAATATGACTCGGTTACTGAATAATTAACCATTTTATTCTCCTTTATTTTCGTATTATATTTGTAGATTGATTATGCACTTGTAGTAATAAAAACGTACATAGAGTATAGGTACAGAAAGAAAAGAACCAACTTTCACCCCGTCGGTAGCATTAATAAAGTACACCGTATATTTATTTATTTATACGTGCACGGTAGTTACATTTTTCTCATCTGATTGTACAATTTGTGCAAGTATGTACTTATACGAGGACAGATTATTCATACAATTAAACTTCCCGCTACCAGACTGTTGTCAATTACTAATCACCCCGGTAATTGAGCATTTCAATCAAAATAGCAAGCGTGTGTGTTTTGTGCCACGAGCCACTTATGCGTAAAAGGAAAAAAAACCAGCTGCTCGCAATTCACCAAAGCTATGCATGTGCAGTATTTTTAGACCGATGAGCGTTGATGTAGTAACGAAAGGGGGAAAAAAGCCACAATCGCCAACAGCATCGTGTACCGAACTAACCGTCGAGTATGCCCGATCTCTTGAAGTGTCGCATCTTGTGGACGCAGAAGTGCGACTTGGCCATGTCCTCGGCCAGGTACTTGCCGTCCCTCGACCACTGCCCACCAGGCATGTTCAGATAGGTCGCCTTGCCAGCCGAGCAGAACGGCTTGGGCACGTTGGTCTGCATGGCCCCGTTCAAGCTGACGGTGCCGAAGCAGTCGTAAGAATCGACGTGCGAGTCCTGATGCTTGTTCCTGATGGCGAAGTAGCTCCAAGACTGATTATTGATTTTCGAGTTGAACAGGAACACCGGCGCCGCGATGTCGCGGGTTCGTTCAGGAGCGAAGCGACTCGTCTCGGTGTTGAAGATCTCGGAGACGTTGCAGGGCAGGGTCAGCCGAGGCGCTTCCGGGTACTGACGGACTGTACTCGCGTGCAGGAGCTTGCCCGGCCTGGCTCGATCGCTCTTCACTCCATGGAGCTTGGATGAGGCTGCAAGATTTTTCATTGTATACGTACATTACTTACTCGCAGGATATTATGTATGATCGCTTGATCGCGAGTTTGGACAGTCACCCATACAACACGTTTAATACGTGATACACAGGACGAGAGAGAGTAAAGAATGTCCAAAATACCGCTTTGTGTATATACATAAACGTGCGATCCGAGCATTCACTGTTTTCTCTTTTGACTGACGGTGCTTTACTTTATGTTGCGTGTTTCACCAGCTAGAAATTGAAACCCAAGAAGGTTGTTTTAAAACCGAGGGAGGAAAAAAAAACATACCAATACACGTATACCTGAAGAATCCTCAGATCAGATCATACTTATGTTTATATTATTAAAATGCAGATACATGACATACATACATGCCATGTTAGACATTAAGTATTTGTACTTTGACACTTAGGGGTGCGCTATTTATGTAGGTATATTTTAATTAGAAATCTATGAAAATAATTATAACTTTGGGCGAAAGTCATAATTGTGCTAATAACTCGAACTATTTTTCATAGCAACAGATCGAGAGAAAGTTTTAATCCATCATGAAAAATTTCATCGGTAATTTAAATATTTAACACACAAGAGTCACGACTCCGAAATTTCAAATACGTAATAATATAATATATGTCAACATCAAGAAATTACATATATAGCTATAGTTAGATTATCAACATATATTTGTCCGATAGGTTAGTTTGTTCTATAGCAATAGGGTGTATATAGATGAGCTATTTAGGAATATTTGATCAAAAATAATGAGAAAAGAAACGAAAACGTTTTATGTTTATGTACCCATACCTGCATAGGACGATCTCGCGAAAAGGGCCGTGAGATCGCCAGACGCGCCGATACGTGACAGTGCCATGATCAGTTGTATTTAATTGACATTTGGATCAGAGAACGGTGGATCAGGATATGGATACTATTCCTCCGGTTTTTTTTAACTGATACTCCTGGCGATCGAACCACTCAACCATCTGTATTTATCAAGCAACGGGAGAAACTACTCGAACCACTTATACATATGTACAAAAACTCCACCATTCCACCAATTCCACTAAAAACCAGTTTTTCTTTGTCACTCACACGCATCAACGTTTATAGCACTAACACTTGGCTGTAGCACGATAAAACGAGAGGCACGTAGCATTCACTTGCATACACCTATATACCTACATAAACTGGGTATGTTCATACTTTTTTTTTCTTCAAGTGCTACTAGTATTACATATAACACGAGTCAGCTATAGCTTTAAATTTTTTCACAAAGGTTCAAAAAGTCTCAACACCAAGAGGTGTGTTGTTAGCTATAGTGCTTTTACTGAAATAATTATTGGTAATTAATAGAGTATGCGGCACGTGTTAAAACAAAATCGACGGATGAAAAATCAGCTGCAAGCTCAAAGTTTTTCAGATTACTTTTAATGCCCTGCAACAACAGCGGGGGTTCGTTATTACAATTACACTGCAGAATACAAAAAAATATTTAAAAAAAAACTTAAAAACGATAGATCATCCAGTAGATGTCGCTGAAACGAATTCGACCATCTGGCGGGAAACTTCAATTCATAATTAACAGCAAGCCTGTTCGAAACGTAACAATTGGAATGATCAGGAAGCTTTTTTGATTGAACAATACTTAATGTATTTTTAATGCGTTCAATGGTTATTTGTTGTTTTTCCAATGCAGCCCATACTTGAACTTTTCATAATAATTTAAATACTTGTTCTCTTTTAGCAAATTCGTAATATAATCATGAAAAATTTTTCAGGTACTTTTAATATCGTTTAGCAAAAAAAAAAAAACAACTTGTCGATACACATATAAATAAAGATACCGATATATTGTACCTCGAAAAGCAATATCTTGATGATAACGGTAAATTTTATTGATAACCTTTCCCTGTGAACATATACTTATATTGTACTCTGCGCCTTCGATTTAATTACATCATACATATTTTATTTACACACGCGAAAAATGGGTCCATAAATTGCCATCGGAGAGAACCGTATTATTATTATTATTCGTAAAATCAAACGTCTTCATGTACATGCAATACTGCCTATCAAGAGATTAAAAAGAGGAAGTTGAGATTAATCAAGAAGAGACGACAACACATACACATCAGCTCACACGATGCAAGTGTATATACACGCTTGCAAATATCATGTTATAGAACGAAAATTGGTTTTGCCAATGCTATGCAATATCGCGAAAAACAAATTGAAGTGTGCATGAAACATTGAAAACCAACGTAATTAGATAGGAGATCTTTATCAGTCTATCTACTGTTTTGTAAAATTACACATACATCACGACACTGGAAATTTAAACAAAACTCTGTGTGTATACATAAAATAATAATACTTAATATGCGTCTCGCAAATAATATTTCCGGCACCGCAGACAGCTGCATCTTGAGCCCAATTAAAGGCACGAATCGCGGAGCGGCAAATTAATTTTGAGAAGCGAGATGGAGGTGTAATTTTGGAACCCCGACTCTATTTTCGCCCACGCGTTAAAAATTTGAAAAAAAAAAAAAAAAAAATCAAACGGAGCTTGCAAAGCTCGTGGGAAACGCAACTCCCCGAGCGAGCAAGCACTCGGTGATTTTTCACACCCGCGAATACACGTATAAAAACTGTATATATGGCAATGGACCGAGCAATTGAGTTGATACGAAGAAATAATATTTTTTGCATCACAAGCGATGCGGAGCCCAACGTCGCAAAAGAGTGCGCGGGAGGCATCGCCGCGCTGGCGCCGAGATGTCCCTCCATATCTAATACTACTCCAGTCTACTCCGGTTAGCGAGGTGTGCCGCTTCGCCCTGAGAGTTTTGCGTCCGATAAAACAAATACAGTCTTTCAATTACAATTAACTATGGCACAGGGTACGAGATTTTGCCATCTGCTGAGATGCAACGCCAGTGGGGCTTCGGTTGCTTCGGCGAGGCTCAAGTGAGTTTTTTTTCAATTTAAACTAAAACAACGTTTTCCACCACACGACGATTGATATAATATACGGACGCGTGACCTTCCATTTACCTGTGTATGTGTACATGTACCCTCAGCTGGGGGGAGCTGGCCTTTTAATTCCTAAACCTACGTGTATACACACACACGTATACACGAGGTTTTATAAGCTTCGACCTGGATTTTTTAATTTTTCTCCCCCCCTTTTTTTCTATCATCAATTAATCTATGTAGTATTTGTAATTTTCGATTTTCGACTATTCACGCGACAGGATTTGTGTAATTAAAAATAACATGTGGCGTGTATGTATACAACGTGTGTGGGTATGCGGATGAACATTCAGAGTTGTTCCGCGCGATTGCTCCAAAAATGTTTGAGACGCAAGATTTATACGAATATATATATATTATATTTATGTAAATGTAGATATGCGACCCAACGTAACTGATGGCGCGTGATGCTGTAATGTGAGATGTGTGCTATTGATGCGGGGATTTTTTTTCGAAAGCTTGCTCGAGTCACGTGACCGACGACTTTGATATTCGAATCGATAACGTGTTCTTTGGACTCTATTTTTTTTTTTTCAAACTATTTATCATCGGTTTCGACCTAACATGGACGTCACAAGTTGTTTAAATAAATTTATACATCACGTCAATTGCAAACAAAAAAACTTGCATCTGATTGTAAGTTAAAAACTCATGCGATTAATTTTCTTTGGCGAAAAATGTTGAAGCAAGTTTCAAAATCACCAACAGGTGTAATCGTTTTTTTTTCTCTCTCTCCCGTCCAGCTCGTGGTGGTCCCACGTCGAGATGGGCCCGCCTGACGCGATTCTCGGGGTGACCGAGGCGTTCAAGAAGGACCAGAATCCAAAGAAAATCAACCTCGGCGTTGGAGCTTACAGAGACGACAACGGAAAACCCTTTGTACTGCCAAGTGTCCAGACTGTACGTATATAATATACATATACCTTTCTCTACCACCCAAGTGGTTCCTCTCACATATTATTACAACATTATGTCCGCGTAGGCAGAGAAAAATCTACACAGCAAGGGACTGGACAAGGAGTACTCGCCGATCTCGGGTAACCCGGAGTTCTGCAAACACGCCATCAACCTGGCACTAGGTGACGGTAATAACGTTGTGTCTAACGGTCTCGTAAGTATATACCAATGTACTCTTGTAAAGTGATCCGTTAAGACCTAAACGTCGATGGGAAAACTAAAAAAACTTTTTCCTCCAGAATTCCACTGTACAAGGTATTTCCGGTACGGGATCGTTGACGATCGGTGCCAACTTCTTGTCCCACTTTTTCCCGGGCCACAAGGAAATATACTTGCCAACGCCGTCTTGGGGCAACCACACCCCGTTATTCAAACTCGCCGGTCTGACAGTCAAGTCGTACCGATACTACGATCCGAAGACCTGTGGCCTCGACTTCCAGGGTTTACTCGACGATGTGTCCGTGAGTAAAGCCGACATTTCACCCTTGATTCTGACGGATCTATAGCAAAAATTCGAAAATATCGAATTGATATTGGTTTTCCAGAAAATCCCAGAAAAGTCGATCGTCCTGCTGCACGCCTGCGCCCACAATCCTACGGGCGTCGATCCCAAGCCGGAGCAGTGGGTCGAGCTGTCGGCGCTTATCAAGAAGCAGAAACTCTTCCCGTTCTTCGATATGGCTTATCAAGGCTTTGCATCTGGTACTTGAAGTGTTTTCGTTTCATCTGGCCTCTACCTGCATGTTTTTTTTTTTCGTTGCAAAAACGTTATCTGTTGTTGTTTCTTTTTTTTTCTCTGAACAGGTGACGTAATGAAAGACTCTCTAGCTGTAAGATTATTTATCGACGAAGGCCACCACGTTGCACTCGCCCAATCCTTTGCCAAGAACATGGGCTTGTATGGTAAACGCTTACTTTGACTTTTTTCCCATAAACTAGTCGCTTTTCGATTATGAATCATCTAAATAAACGGGTTTGCTCGATCAAAGGCGAGCGCGTAGGAGCTTTCACACTGGTCAACGCCAGCAAAGAAGAAGCTGCCAAAACGCTTTCTCAGATCAAGATCCTCATCAGGCCGATGTATTCGAACCCACCGATTCATGGTGCTCGTATCGTTAGTGAAATCTTGGGCAACGCGGAGCTGAAAAAACAGTGGCTGATCGACGTCAAGGGGATGGCTGACCGAATCATCTCCGTGCGTACTAAGCTCAAGGATCATCTCAAGAAGAATGGTAGCACTCGCGACTGGTCTCACATCACCGACCAAATTGGCATGTTTTGCTTTACTGGTCTAAAAGCTCCCGAGGTGGGGTAATTTTGAAATTTCACTCGAATTCGTACTCGATTATGAAAAAAAAAAATGATGGTCTTGTTTTTACAGGTGGAAAGGCTAACCAAGGAGTTTAGCATATACCTGACCAAAGATGGTAGAATTTCGATGGCTGGTGTCACATCGAACAATGTGGAGTATCTGGCCCATGGTATTCACGAGGTTACCAAGTAATTCGTCTCGATAACTCCAAGTTTTCCATCCTGAAACAAACAACTTCTCTACTTCTGTGCACTATCGTACCAAAAAAAAACCCAGCACCTACCCAAACTAATATGTAACTTGTCGCTCAAATGTGAGCCGATAGGTATATTGTATTTTATGATTTTAAGTGAAAATACGAGTGTGTATCGGGGGAAAGAAAGAAAAACAGTGCATTTACTCTATAAGCATGTTATTTTTGTAAAAAGTCACTGCTGGCGGTGTTGATGGATACGAGTTCTCCTACCAATCAATTCAACACTTAATATACACATACACACTTGCAATTCAGCTGCATTCCTTTTAAAGTTTTCTCAAAATTTTATAGAAATATTTACTGTTGTTGATAAAGGTAAAAAAATATACATATACACAAATAAATACATTATTATTGTTTTTTAGTACACATATATACGTAAGTAAGTCTAGTCTTTCCTAAAAAAAGTTGAAAATTATGAGAAAATCCACGTCAGTTCAGTTAATTGGAAACCCTTGGAAGATTAAATGACCTACGAATGATTGTTACGTACGAAATAAATGACGTTAAAACTCATTACACACGTAATTTCTTTCAAAAAAAAACACCCGCTTCTTTCGTATCATTATCCAATAACAATTGAAATTCCCATACTTGGACGATATATTGGTCGTGAAAAAAAAAAAAAAAAAAACAATCCACCTGCACACCATAAAACTCCCGCAACAATCGAAGCAAGTTCCACATCCTACTGTTGTACCGTTGCCATGGAGTCGGACGCGACTTCAGTCACCTCGTGCTCGGACTGTCGACGCGTCGAGCCGCGTGTACTCCCTCGACCAGGTGACGATAGCGACGCAAAGTGGTCTCTTTTGTTGTTGTATTGAAGAAAAAAAAAAAAAAAAAAAAAAAAATAAAATAAAAACAAAAAACCCAAAAAAACCGTCACAGCGCATCCATGATAAACCAGCATCGTAGACAATAGTGTTTCGACAATGACGAGCGCAGTCCAAGCTGTCCTGAGCGAACTAGGCTGGGGCGACGGGTTCCGCATCCCCATCGCCAATGCCGCGAACAAACGCCTGGAGGAGGAGGTAACCTTATTGGATCGGCATTGCATGTACACCTCGATCTCCTCACCAACGAGCACCCAACGAAAGCTCCACAAGTTCAACTGCACGTGTTGTATACGTATGATATAATGTGTCGCAGATCGAGCGCAAGACGCGGGAGCGCGCGGCGCTCCGCACGCGACTGGCCAACCTCGAGGAGCTAACGAGCGAGATCCAGAAGCACGGGACGGACGTGCGCCAGGAGCAGAGCCAGAACCAGCGGCTGTTGGCTGCCCACGCGGCCCAACTCGAGGCGGAGAAGCACCTGTACGGCCTGTCCCGGATGGAGGAGGGCCGGCTGAGGCGCGAGTCCAAGCTGGCCGCGCGAGAGACCAGCGAGACCGAGGAGAGGACGGCGGTGTTGAAGCAACGTCTGGCCAAGTCGAGCCGCAAACTCGAGGACACCAAGCGGGGCATTGCCCTCGACAAGGAGAGCCTCGCCGACTGGGAGGAAAAGCTCAACCGGGCCGAGGAGAAGAACCTCGTGATCGAGCACTTTGTCCGCACCGACGACAAGAGCTTCAAGGTAGGTGGTGTCGATCATCGTTATTCCGTCTAACGCATCATCCTTGGGGCAGAAAATCGAGCTCGAGCGCCGGAGCCTCAGCGACAAGGCCGACACCTACCGTCGGACCATCCTCAAAGCCGACTCCGATGTCCGGGAATTGGGTAAGCGGTATTTAATAACGCATAAGTATATAGGTACACCCAAGCGTTTCATTTCCATTTGTTTGTTCAGAGCTGGTGCTGAGCGAGACGGCCCGGTATTACAGCCAAGCGGTGAAGGACCGCCGGCACCTGATGGACCAGTGGTCGCAGAGCGTCCGCGCGCTCAAGCAACGAGGCAAGGCCATCAGCGACGCCCGCCAAGTACCCTATACACACCTAATATTATTATAACAACAACAACAACAACAACAATGCCATTGAAGCACACCGTACGATTGCAACGATGATTGTCGTGCCGAAGGAAATGAACTCGCTGCGCGAGAGGGCCAAGGCGCGGATGGACGCGTACGAGGAGGCAGAGCGCTTCCTCGAGATCCAGGTGTCCGAGAACAGGGAGCTCGAGTACGGCATCCGAGGGGCCGAGCGGGAGCTCGTGAAGCAGCGCGACGAGCGCCACAGGGCGACAGAGGCCATGGACGCCCTGGCGGTCGAGGTATACACACGAGGACCGATATTTGTTAAATTTTTCGCGAACAAAACCACGATGATTAACGAAATAAATAAAAAAAAAAAACGTGCAGCTGGTGGCCAAGAGGAAGGAGCTGCAGGAGGTGACGCGCCGAACGGTTGACACGCGGGCCAACGGTAAGCGCAAGAGGGCCGAGGTCGAGGAGAGCCGGGTCAAGCTGGACGAGTGCAAGAGGCGGGTGCGCGACCTCAAGGAGACCCTCAAAAACATCGACTGGCAGACCATGAACGTCGAGGAGAGGACGAGGCAGCTGCAGGATATGCTCGAGGTTAACGCGCTGTGGAAACACGACTATATGCAAATACACACTTATACGGGCGGTTTACTTGCAGAGGGAGGAGAAGCGCAAGGCGACGATCAATCGGGAGATCAAGCGACAGCAGGACCTGATAACGCGCGCGGAAGCCCGGCTAGCCGAGCTAGGTGGGTCCACATTGTTTTTCCCTTCCCGAGAATGTACGATAAACCTATGTAATTCCCTTAGACAACGAGCGGAAGATGGTGGCGATGCAGCAGCAGGCCGAGTCGAAGCGGTGGGAGCGGCTGGTGGCCGAGCTGTCGAGGCAAAAAAAGCTGCTCAAGGAGAAGAAGGAGTGCGCGTACCGGGCCGACGTGGAGTTGCAGAGGCACGAGTTGAGGCTCCAGGTGATGCTGGGCCAGGAGAACGACAAGGACAAGCTCGAGGCGAAGCAGGAAAGGATCAAACAGCTGAGCCGGGTGCTCAAGGACAAGTCCGAGATGCTCAAGGCTCTCCAGGCACAGATGGCTCAGGTCGAGGTATTATACATACACGCAACACGTTTAGCGATGACTTTTTAAATGGCAAAATGATGAATCCACGCGCCGTCGTTGTACCGCAGAACGACGTAAGAAAGCTGACGAGCGAGATGGTGAGCAAGAACGAGGAGCTGCAACAACTGAGGGACAAAAAGCAGGAGTTGTGCTTGCTGCTGGACGGCGGTGAGAAGCAGCTGAAAGCGGCCCAGTCGAGCCACGAGGGCAGACAGGTGGACGAGAACATGCTTAAACTCAAGGTCAGGGAGGCCGAGAGGATAGCGTCCAAAGTCGGGGGCAAGCTGTACACCCTCGAGAAGTTGGCCCTCGAAATGGAAGCGGTGAGTGTCGAGTGGACCGGAGCTACGACAACAACGACAATTAAATCACTTTGAAAACCCGTCAGGCGATGCAAGAGCGGATGTCCGAGATAAAGGCGCAAAAGGAGGGCCTGGTGCTGAGGAGGCGGCTCGCCCAGGCGGATTGCGCTGAGCTGCGGGGCCAGGTGGTCGAGCGCAAGGCCCGGGTGCAACAGCTGCAGGCGCGCTACGGCATAATAGTCGCCTGCCTCGGCACGAATCCCGAGGACGGGACACCCCTGGACACGACCTACCTGAAGATCCAGAGCGCCCAGGAGCGCTACGTCCTCCAAGAGCACGGCGACCAGCTCGACCGGGCCATACGCAAAGCCGAGCACGAGATACGAAGCATGGAGAACACCCTCAAGCTGGTAAACGCGTGCAATGCCAAGTACAAGGACAATTTGTCGCTGGTGGAGGACGGGGCGCCCGAGGTTGCGGAGCAGGCCCGGTTGGACGAGGAGACGACCCGGGTCCTCGAGACCATGGGCCAGAAGAGGCGAGCGCTCGACCGCGCGCTCGAGGACTGCAAGGTTCATAAATTATACTATTCTTTTGTTTGTTTTTACCATCCCACGAGCGATGATGGGCAACAACGAGGGGGATGAGTGTATTCTTTCGCAGAGGATGGAAGAGAATTGCGCTCAGCTGGACGAGGACGTGAAGAGAATAAAGGAGGAGAAGGAGGACAAGAGGCAGACCGTCGCCGATCTCGAGCAGCAGATAACCGAACAGGGGGAGAAAATCTCGAGGGCCGACAAAAACCTCCGGAGGATCCTCAAGGATATTCGCGACAAGTGCGTCTGCACCTCCAACGAGTCCATGTTGTTGCAGGAGGTTGGGAATTATTTATCATACCGTTGATTCAATGTGTGTTTGCGCCATTGGCTTTTGTACTTCACAGAGGGACATTGAGCTGCGCGAGCTCCAGGAGCTGAACCAGTTGGCGCTGCAGCGGATAGCCGAGTTCACGATTCGCCACGTGGAGGCCGAAGCTTATGTCAAAAAGTTGCTGGACGAGCGGGGTATAGCCTTGCCCAGTGCCTACTACCTCAGGCTGCAGCAGCAGTACTCGAGCAGGTGCGAGAGCACGGCTAGCTCGTACGGGGCCAGCAGTAGCCGGGTACAGAACAATTCTGGAAGGGACATGGTTGTCGGTTCGATCGTACAATTGGAACCGCAGTTTGAAGGTACATTTTTGTTTTATCTGCCTGTTTTTTTTTTTTTTTTTTTTTTTTTTTTTTTTTTTTTTTTTTTTTTTTTTNTTTTTTTTTTTACATGAATGGTGGACTTTGTTTTGTTGCAGCAATGGGTTCAGCAAAGTCTCTCAAGGTATCGAGTTCAAGGTCGCAAAGACAGACACCAAAGAAGAAAAAGTGAGACGAAAATTTTACGTATTTTATGACGTTCGCAGGGATAAAAATATATGTGTTTTTGTATCATCGTGATAGTGCAGAAATACTATATTTTATCATACAAGTAGTAGGTATTTGCATTGCTCATGTAACGTCGTCTAACTATGATTATAATTTTTATCCAGCAATTTTTATTTGTGCAATAGTAGGATTATATTTATACCTACTTACCTAACTTAATTTTATAAGTTTCTTTATTCGTTTCTTTATTTTCATGCTTTTGTATAAATTATTATACGTTTGTTTTCTAAAAAAAAAAATAATATTAAGGAAAGTAGTCGTAAAACCGACTGTTTGTAAATATTTTCTTTTAATTTGCAAAGATTTTTGATACCGATATTGTTATTGCAACCGTATAGTATATAAACTTTCTTAGGACCATTGGAGTAAAGGAATTCTTTAATTATCATGCATTCATTTTAAGTTACATTGATTAAACGACATTAAAATAAGGTATACCTACCCATGTAGTACAATCAACTCTATAATATAATACAATATAATAAATAAAAGACTACAAGCCATCAATGACTGAGGAGGTTTTATATTTTAAAGACATCAGCAATGTCAGTAATACTATGAAAACTAAAAAAAAACAAAAAAAAGGTCAAGAACTAAGTTACTCTCTAGATGAGCCATACCTACTTATCACAGAATAAAAGATGATAACACAATTTAACATATACTAATACACTTACATTGGGGTCTGGCGTCTCAACTCAACTCTCGATACAGTTTGCTGTTGCCTCGTTGAAATTTGTCTTCTTCAAACTTGGTTTAAATTAAGTAAGTAAGTAAGTAATTTAATAAGCAAAAAAATGGTTGTCTTGGCATGTCCAGATCGTCCATCCGCCGCCGGTTTCAGCACCGTTTTTTGTCTGCATTTTGTCTGAGGGGGGGGGGTTGCAGTCATAACCTCTTCAATTACTTGTTTGTTTCATTTTGTTTTTGAACTTCTTTGCTTCATCTTCATCTTGATTAATTTTTTAAAGCCTTTCATCATTGTATTGAATTTAAAAGGGCTAATTTTGTCCACGTAATTTCCGTTGATTCTTTATTTTAGTTTTTTTGTTTATATTGTAACAATAATGTCTGAGTCGCCTGAGGAGATTCATCTGGTATCTAGCAACAAGAGCTTTGGGGGATGGCAGAAGGTTTTTACTCACGAAAGGTATATTTACTTGATTTTAATTTTGACATGGTAATGGTAATTGGTAGGGTATTTACTTTACATGTCCTCAAGATTTCATGATATTTACTTTTGAACCTTTCTTACAGCACAGAACTAAAATGCCGAATGAACTTTGGTGTTTACGTGCCACCTCAAGCTGAAAAGCATCCGGTGCCCGTAATTTACTGGCTCTCTGGATTGACATGTACAGAAGCCAATTTTATTCAGAAATCTGGTTCTCAGAAATACGCAGCTGAGAATGGAGTCATGCTTGTTGTGCCAGACACAAGTCCTAGAGGAGTCAACATTCCTGGAGAAGATGAGTGCTGGGACTTTGGATCAGGAGCTGGATTCTACGTAGATGCCACTGAAGAGCCATGGAAAAACCATTACAGAATGTTCAGCTATGTTACCAAAGAGTTGCCTGCTCTGATCAAAAAGAAATTTAATGTAATACCGGATAAACAGTCAATAATGGGTCATAGGTATGTGTACAATTTTCTCTTAAAATACTTTTGTGTATATAGTAGTTGCTAACAAATTTCTTTTTTTTTTTTTTTTCATTGAAGTATGGGTGGACATGGCGCTCTCATCTGTGCACTCAAGTGTCCTGGACAGTACAAAACAGTTTCTGCATTTGCACCTATCAGCAACCCTACAAAGTGTGACTGGGGAAAAAAGGCTTTTGCAGGATATTTGGGAGGAAAAGAAGGTGATAGTCATTGGAATGAATACGATGCCTCAGAACTTATTAAAACTTACAACGGACCATGTCTTAACATCTTAGTGGATCAGGTTTTTTTTTTTTTTTTTTCATTTTCTGTTGGCACAACGTAGTATTAGAACAGTATTTATATTTTGATTTTGTAGGGTAAGGAAGACGGATTTCTTAAACAACTTCTACCTGAAAATCTTACTGCTGCAGCAAAAAATACACCTATAGATCTTGATGTGAGATTTCAAGAAGGTTATGATCATAGTTATTTTTTTATTTCGACATTTATAGAAGAACATATTAAACATCACGTTAAATATTTCAATTGTTAAGGTAGGCGTTACTTGTTAAATTATAAATAACAACTGTTATTTGATTCAAATTTATATTTACAATATGTCCAAGCGTTTCATGTAAAAGTTTTATACCATTTTTAACTATCTTGACTGAATTTGATAAAACTTTTATCATTTACATGTATGTACATGAAATACACATTATATATAAAAATATATTGAATGTATTTTACGAAAATTTTTTTTATAGTTGCACAAAATCAGATAGCATAAATATACAAAATAAATAAAATTCATAATTTTTACAAATACGTACTCCAAAACGGATAATATTCCACTAAATGTGCATGGGACTTTAAGAAGATTTCGTTCCATGTCGGAACTCATGCCACTGTGTTAAGACTGGTGCTCGTTTTCGCCAAATATTTTCAATACCCCATTGCTGCCAAAAGCTACAAAAAGTAAATTTTTTAAAATCCGACTTGAGAATGTTTTCAATAATATTCCAATAATAACCATCGCTTACATTCCAAAAAAAGCACCACCCAAGTGGGCTGCATGATCAAAGAATCTCCATCCAAATACACACCCAGCCGTGTCCATTGCCATTAGAGATTTGATTGCCTGAAAAAATATTGATATTTAATTTTCTTTATTGCCTATGTAGCAAAAGTATGCTGACAATATGCATTACCGCTCCAGCACTAAATGTAAATTGAGGCAACAAAATTATGTTCAGTCTTGTGTCAGGGTACTGAGTGCAAATGAAAGCTAGTATTCCCATAATGGCTCCAGACTGTAACACGAGTTTTAAATCATTATAATTTCGCTTCCATGACTTATTTAAAAATTTTTAAGTAACATGACAGGCTTACAGCTCCTAAAGAGGGCCCGGATTGATTTCTCATAATTTTGTATGCAATACTGAATAAGCTCGATGCAACTCCGGATGACAAATACAAGGCTACAAAATGTTCTCTTCCTAAATATGAAACTGCAGGCGTACTAAAACTATGTAGCACATACATATTTGCTGCTAAATGCCACAGATTGTAATGCGAAAACGTGGACAGTATCATAGGCAGACACGTTATACCTGGAAAATACATTTAATAAATCACAAATATTTGTAATGGGTTCAAAATTTGGACTTACCAGTGGCAGGACTACAGGTGAAATATTTCATCATTGTTGATCTCAATTGTGGTATTTTCCACGCCAAAAACACAGCAACATTGGCATAGCAAATGAAATAAAACGTTCTCTGACCTTCTGACAATCCATTCCACCACGCTTTCGCCTCTTGCCTCCATCCTGTAGCCTAAAGACAAAACGTTAACCGCTAAAAAATGATCTAGTACCAAGAGAACGATAACTAGTATTTCAATTTTCACGAACGGTTCTAAAGTGTCTTTGAAAAGGTACTCTATTCAATCCTTTAAATGTCTGCGATCGTATTCTTTCATATTCCCATACTGTTGCTCCCAAGAAAGATGCTCCAGTGAACTGTAATCGTTTGATAAGGTTTTATATTAAATTTTTACAATTTTGAAAATGTTCCTGTAAACGAAACAGACAAATAGTTTAGCTCTGACATTTTTAATGTTGATGAGTTAACCAGTGCCAAAAAAACATTTATAAATTAGCATCGCACCGATTCATCTGCCCCGCGGAAAGGAGAAAAAAAAAAAAATAAATAATGGCAGAGAAAGAATATTGATAGAAAAAAAATTTACATAACGCTCAAGTCAACCATTTGCATTTCCATTTGTCAATTTGATTCAACAATTGATGATAAACCTTATGAATCACTGCACACAAAAGAACAATGTGCTGATGGTTCAAAGCTTTGATATTAATTCATCAAAAAATTACATCACCTAATGTGCTGTTGAATAAAACTCTAGTTTTTTCAAATGCAATCTCTCTCCACCATTATTTCATAAACCCTTTCAATAAACGTATAACGTAAACAAACAACATACAGCTGTGGCAAAAACAGTGGCCTTCCATAATTTTTGCCCAGCCCCTGTGGCTCCAACTTGAACCTGAACTTCCAAAGGCTGTTTTATCGTACTCTCGATATTTCTGTCTCTTTTAAAATTTCTGCTTTGCCTCAGCACACCTTGAGATTGGAGTTGCACCCTTGGCAACTGTACGTTTGAAAAAATACTGGAAAAATTTCGTTGATTTTGTCAAAGTCGCCGCATAACCCTTTTTTCAATTAACAACATAATATTCATTTACCATCTGCTAGTTGCATCACCCAAATGTAACAGAACTCGGCTTGCCATCGAAGAGAAATTTTATTTTATTATTGGCACTTAAAATTTAATACTATCGCGTTAATTGCATTTGATTTGATTAGATCTTATTTGACACTGCAGGATGTAGTGCTATATTGAAACATTGGAAACATATGTGTGAAATAAACTCGTCTGCTCGTAGGTATAAAACGATGTTGGGGCGCGTTTACACGACAAATTACAAGCCGGCGACCACAGCGAATATCTTGTTTCCAATTCGAGTCGTGTAAATGCGCCTTAATTGTGAAACTGCTCAAATTGAAAAAATGATGTACAGCATGTACTTATACATTGTATATACTTATGTGGGTTCCACAAGGTTTGTCATCAAAATTTTGTCATAAAATAATTAATATTACGCTCAGAATGTTTTCAATTTTTGAGTTAATAAATAAAAACTAAAATTCTTTGCACTTACCTGAATAATATTTCATATTATTTAAACACACTGCATGTATAATCACACTTTATCGGTTTTACGTAAATATAAATAAATGATTACATTGATTTGTCATTTAAATCTCCAGAAAGGAAAATTATTCATGTGTGTAAACACGATATGAGAAATGCAACTGCATAATAAACGTACAATATATGAATGTACGAATGAAAACGCGATTTAAATTTTACTGCAGATGAGCGTAACGTAGAAAAGCTCACGTTACGTTTTTCAACGCAATCTTTGTGTCACAATGACTGATTTGCTCTGATTCGACGATCAACAATAAATGGGTATAGGTATGTATAAGAGCTACAGGACAGCGATCAATGGATTACAACATCGGCCTTTTCCTAAGGAAAAACAATAAGTATAGTTATAACTTGGTGTACTCGTGACGGTAGCCAATATTATAAATATGTAAATTCATCGAAAACAGGTTTGCGCAAATCGGCGATGAAACCAAACCAGGAAACCGGGAGAACCATCGTTAGTAGTTTCTACGCCTTTCGTTTATTGTTTGTGCATAAGCTCCCTTATTGTTGTCTTTGCTGGGCGCTTGATTGGAGCTATATTGTATACAAAAATGGCTTGGATGTCGAGGGTAATAAATTTCTCCCTGCCCTTTGGAGACTGGATGACAAAACTCCACGGTGAATCCCATCAGTAGTTGGTTCGTTTTCACCTTTGTCTTTTGCAATTTACCAATGGCTATGTGTTACTTTGATATTAAAAAACATTTGACGATTTTGTGTTTAGCGAACTTGGGAATTTCCGTACATACATCTGCAAAAATATTCCCAACTTTTGAACCAACTACGTGCACGAAAAATTTCATAGCAACACAAGAGGTACGAAAAAGAAGGACAATCAGCGACGGAGGTGGTGAAATATTTAATTTTTCAGTAAAAGAGAGAGCGACGAAATGATCAGAAAGGCCACCGAATCGACGCGCCCGATTGTTTACAATGAATTACAAAAACTTATACAAGATGTATACGTTCCCAGCTCACATGACCATAATATTATCTACAACTGTACGAGCGAATGGTAAGTTGGTACATTAATTTGTTTGAGAGACAATGGTACTCTTGCCCTCTTAGATAATCAGTATAGGCAAGGTAAAGTCACGTACTTATAGCTGAGGCGAGATAGCAAAAGTTGAGTAAAAATTTTTTTTTCTCCAAAAACCTCACGTCAACCACGGATGTTCGACAATATCACCGTACTTTCCATTTTTCTCGTTCTTACAAATTGAAAAAAAGCCCCCTCCGTTACAGTGAAGTTGGTAAGAACAGAAGGACTGTACCAACCTTGGTACGGCTGCACAATGTACGCATGCCATTAAACGAACATTTAAGAGCCATTAAAATGTTGTTATCTCCAGTACAGCGCTTCTATACGTACGAGTCATTAATTCGTTAGTATACGTGTACAGTTGCGATACGTGGTCCCACCAACGAATATATTTTGTTTAAGCGAGAGCCGATTAACCCAAACGTCCATTTTCTCGTTTGGAAAGCCTGGGTGAGCCCAACTTACATAGGTACATCAGTGCTCGACCGGCACGTCCGTGCATTATCGCTATTCTTGCTATAACAGCCGTTCCCCGATTCCCCCTCTCAAAGAGGTAAGGAAAATCGAATTGCATACTTTCAAATTTTGGCCGTACACGCATATGTATATATACATATATCCCCAGCGGGCCAATCTATCCCAGCAGTTGTGTGTGGCATCTAGCGCGCACATGTCAGTTATTGACGGTCCGTCACGAAATTTTGTGGATTTCATCGTTTGCGTTAGTCCAACTCGGCAACCGAGTCAGGCGCCCGGAGCAAACCACTCGAGGCTCGTTATCCCCTGGAAGTTGCGCCAACACTCGGACCTCGATGGATTTCTGGAATAAAGATCGTCGCCCATCCGATTGGGAAAGTAACAATGAAACAGCGAGTTCTACGGAGGACGACGAGATCGACGTCGAGCAAGATGATGGTAACGGAGCCAGCGATGTCGACGTCAACGCCGATGGCGGCAGCAGCAACGACGACGACGACGACGACGACGATGAACACGTCGAGGACAATGGCAATCCGGGGATGAAGCGTTTCAAGTACGAGAAAGGACCGGAGGTACGTTGTCAATGGCACAGAGGACGATAAAGTGTTGCCTCAAATTGTTTCGCGTTGTACTTGTTCCTGGTTTTTAGCAAAGAGGGTAAGCACATATTTTTGTATAAATATGTGCTTGTGCGTATATGTATTTTTTTTAATAATTAAAAAAGAGCCATTGTCATCCGATTACGTTCGAATTCGGCTCTACAAGAATGTAAAAAATGTATTATTTGGAAAAGTTTTGTCGCAGGACAACAACTTTTCAGCGATTTTACTGTTGATCGAGAAAAGGAGAATCGGTTTTTCAAAAAGTTACAGGTTTTGGTGAATTACAATTTTTCTTTGTTTTTGTGACAGGCACGCACTTTTCATGAATAACAATTAACACGGACACACACTAAAATATTTTGGAATTACAATTGATGTCATTCTCGCGATAATCAGATAACGATAGATTGGATCGCTGTCGTTAATTTTTCGAAAGACGGTGACGTGAAACCGATGACAACGGTAGTGGTATAGTTAACGACTCGCTATATATAGTCAATAACGTATCTTGTACATGAATCATGAAAAAATTTTATTTTTACGTTTTTACCTCATAAATATTATCTATAGTTTTGAAATTACTTGATCAATGGTGAAACAAAGTATGAAAATTTCCATTTGATAAGCACCATTTTCCACTGATATGTGTATTTGAGAAAATCTACAAAAATGGCCCATTTTTTCCTCGATTTTTGGATTAAAATTTTTTTTGAGGTACTTGAAACCGGACTTATTTTACTCGCAAAACAAATGTTGCGTCGCACGCAAGTGTGCCTTAAAAAAATTTTTTATCTAATAATCGGTGACAAAAACGGGACATTTTTTGTGGACTTTCTCATATTGTACCTCTTTCTATCAAGATTTAAAAAAGTACGTTTTCCAGTAAGAATCGAAATAGTACCTCGTGTAAAACTTAAAATCAATAAAGTACCTTTGATACAAAAACAAAAATTTAAATGAATAAATAGGTTTCATATTTAGTCCTATATCTGATTAAAAAAGATGAAATAATTAATGAAATTACAAGTAAAATCAATAAATTAATAAAAAAAATAAATTTTGTAGTACGTAAAATGATTTGTGGTTATAAAAATGTTTTAAGTTACAGGCAACTAATTTTCAGCAAAAAAAGAGGGAACATCACAATAATAGTGAAAAACAACGGAGAATAGCTATCAAGGAGAGTTTCGATAATTTAAAAAAATGCCTGCCATCGTTGGCCAACGTAAAAAATGCCAGTAAAGCTCGAATATTGGGAACAAGTTGTTCCTACATAAATAACATGTTGGACAAGCAGAAAAAGTGGAATCATGAAATTGAATTGATACACAGGGAAAACGATGTGTACAAGAAGAAAAGTAAGTGTGTGTGTGTTTTTTTTTTTGTAGAACTGTCTTTGCTAAAAATTAATATTTGACATAATATTTTCTGAGCACTTTGTCTTAGGTCATATGCCTATCTAGTCATTACAACGTACTAAGGAAATTATTATCGTGTGTAATTTTGTGTATTACTTTGCCAGTTTATTAAAATAAAATATTTAAAGCACTTTATCATCTTACAATTAAAATTCAAGCATAATACTTTCAGTTATTTTTTATATTCAGTAAATAAATTAAAAAAGAAAAAAAAAAATTGTTTTTGAAATACAATATTAAAAATATTTTATTTACATATAACTTTATTTATCGAAAAAAGAATTTTGACACCCTTATTTTAAGTTTGAATATGTTATAGATACTTGAATATAATATTAATTATTTGTTTACAGTTGAAATTCTAGAAAAAGCAATTAAAACTGGCGTTATTGATGAAGAAGTTATGGATGCTTGTAAGCCTAACTTTGATAAATTGGTAATATGACAAAGTAAGTTTTAAGCAATAAAAACTCACAAATTGATTCATTATCAGACACAACGTGTTGATGGTTCACCATAGTATTGTAAAAGTGTACATAAAAATTTATACGTATATGATTACCTTAGTATATTATAAGTAGCTAAGACTACCTTATTCTGATTATTATTTATTTTTATAAATGATTCTTTGTACGTAAATTAATTTGATTGAAAATAAATTATATGTATGTGCGTAATTTATTTAAATATGTTTTATTAAAAATTCTTCGATTGAAAAAAACAAATTTATCCTTTTTTTTCAAGATTATATGAAAGTCAAAAATAAAAATCTTTCAAACCACATAAGAATAAGCCAAATGTACGTAAAGCAGGTGAAAAAAAAAAATCTGATGGCTACCAGTGCAAAAATTTTCCAAATCCATTATAATTTTCACCACGAGTTACTCAGCTAAGAGAACTAAAAATGTAATCTCAGGTAAATCCACCACGAAACGAGTTTTGCGAATTTCACCCACCGTTCAAATACAATGTTGCATATGTTCAAGAATGGTAATAGTGTGAAGGCTTTATTCACATCAAAAAATCGCACGAAAGTATAATTTCTTTTCGAGTTGTAGGGATGAAAAAAAAGTGGGCAG